AAACCTCAACAAATATTAGCAAACCGAATCCTACAACGCATTAAAAAAGATCATATACCACGACCAAGTGGGATTCATCCCAAGTTCACAAGGATGGCTCAACATATGCAAATCAACCAATGTGATACACCACATAAATGAAAGAAAAGACAAAAACTACATGATTATCTCAGTAGACGCAGAAAAAACATTTGACAAAATTCAACATCCATTCACGATAAAAACTGTTACCAAAGTGGGTATAGAGGGAACATAATCTCAACATAATAAAAACCATTTATGATAAACACACAGCCAATATAATACTCAATGGTGAAAAGCTGAAAGCCTTCCCACTAAAATCTGGAGCAAGACAAGGATGCCCACTCTCACCTCTTCTATTCAATACAGTACTGGAAGTCCTAGCCACAGCAATCAGACAAGAAAAAGAAATAAAAGTTATCCAAATTGGAAGGGAAAAGGTAAAATTGTCATTTTATGCAGATGATATGATGCTATACATAGAAAACCCTAAAGACTCCACACAAAAATGACTAGAACTGATAAACAAATTCAGCATGTAGCAGGATACAAGATTGACCTACATAAATTGGTTGCATTTCTTTACACCAACAATGAAATATCAGAAAGGGAATGTAAAAAAAAAAAAATAGCTTTTAAAATTGCACCCCCCAAAATAAAATGCTTAGGAATAAACCTGACCAAAGAGGTAAAAGACTTATATGCTGAGAACTATAAAGCATTAATAAAGAAGCCTGAAGATGATTCAAAGAAAGGTAAAGATATCCCATGCTCTTGGATTGAAATAATATTGTTAAAATGGCCATACTACCCAAAGCAATCTACAGATTTAATGTAATCCCTATCAAATTACCCATGACATTTTTCACAGAACTAGAATAATCCTAAAATTCATATGGAACCATAAAAGACCCAGAATTGCCAAAGCAATCCGGATGAAAAAGGACAAAGCAGGAAACATAACCCACCCAGCCTTCAGACAATACTACAAAGCTACAGTAATTGAAACAGCATGGTACTGGCACAGAAACAGACATATGGATCAATGGAACAGAATAGAGAGCCCAGAAACAAACCCACACACCTATGGTCAATCAGTCTTCAACAAAGGAGGCAAGAACACACAGTGGGTAAAAGTCTCTTCAGCAAGTGGTGCTGGTAAAGTTGGACAGCCACATGTAACTCAATGAAGTTAGAACACACCCTCTCACCATACACAAAAATAAACTCAAAATGACTTAAAGACTTAAACATAAGACATGACGCCATAAAACTCCTAGAAGAGATCATAGGCAAAACATTCTCTGATACAAATTGTACCAATGTTTTCTTAGGTCAGTCTCCCAAGGCAGTAAAAACAAAAATAAACAAATGGGACCTAATCAAACTTACAAGCTTTTGCACAGCAAAGGAAACCATAAACAAAACAAAAAGACAACCTACGGAATGGGAGAAAAATTTGCAAACAACACGACCAACAAGGGCTAAATTTCCAAAATATACAAACAACTCATACAACTGACCAACAAAAAAAACGAAACAACCCAATTGAAAAATGGGCAGAAGACCTAAATAGACATTTCTCCAAAGAAGAAATACAGATGACCAACAGGCACATGAAAAGATGCTCAACATCGCTAATTTTTAAAGATATGCAAATCAAAACTACAATGAAATACCACCTCACACTGGTCAGAATGGCCATCATTTAAAAGTCTACAAATAACAAATGCTGGAGAGTGGGTGGAAAAAAGAGAACCCTCCTACACTGTTGGTGAGAATGTAAATTGGTGCAGCCACTGTGGAAAACAGTATGGAGGTCCCTCAGAAAACTGAAAATAGAATTACCATATGATCCAGCAATCCCACTCCTGGGCATATATCCAGACAAAACTATAATTCAAAAAGATACGTGCACCCATATGTTCATAGCAGCACTGTTCACAATAGCCAAGACATGGGGACAACCTAAATGTCCATCAACAGATGAATTGATAAAGATGTGGTACATATATACAATGGAATACTACTCAGCCATAAAAAAGAATGAAATAATACCATTTGCAGAGATTATCATACTAAGTGAAGTCAGAAAGAGAAAGACAAATATCATATGATATCCTATATATGTAGAATCTAAAATATGACACAAATGAACCTATCTATGAAATAGAAACAGAATCAGGGACCTAGAGAATAGACTGGTGGTTGCCAAGGAGGAGGGGCTGGGAGAGGGTTGGATTGGAAGTTTGGGATTAGCAGATGAAAACTGGTATATACAAAATGGATAAACAACAAGGTCCTACTGTATAGCACAGGGAACTATATTCAATATCCTGTGATAAACCATAATGGAAAAGGATATGAAAAAGAATGCATATATATATATGTATAACTGAGTCACTTTGCTGTACAGCAGTAGTTAACACAACATTGTAATTCAACTATACTTCAATAAAAAATAAATTAAAAAAAATATGACACAAATGAACCTATCTATGAAATAGAAAGAGAATCACAGACAGAGGGCACTGGTGGTTGCAAAGGGGTAGGGGTTGGGGAGGGATGGAGTGGGAAGTTGGGGTTAGCAGATGTAAGCTTTTATATACAGAATGGATAAACAACAAGGTTCTACTGTATAGCACAGAGAACTATATTCAGTATCTGTGATAAACCATAATGGAAAAGAATATAAAAAAGAATGTATATATATGTATAACTGAATCACTTCGCTGTACAGCAGAAGTTAACACTGTAAATCAACTATATTTCAATTTTTAAAAAAAGAAAAAAAAGAAAATGCACATTCCTGAGTCCCCACACCCAGAGATCCTGAATCAGTGGGTCTGGAATGGGGCTCAGTAATCTGCATTTTTCATCAGCACCTCTGGTGATTCTGACATACTTACTTTGAGTATAACTTTTTGAAGAACAGGCAAATTTAAGGAAATAGTCTATCAACAAGCAGGCCAAGACTGCATGAGTTAGTAATAACTAAGATCATTTCCAAGGTGGAATAGCTTTTAAGAAGCCTTCAGACTCCTGGAGACTTGTGTATCTGCTAGCCAAGTTCAGTTGGAGTAAGCATAATTACTGTCATTAAACAGGAAGGTAATTTATTCTCTGTTCTTCCATTTCCACTATAAAATATGTTGACTCTAATATGCCATGCATCCAGCTTCAAATAAGCACACTTACTAATCTCAAGAACACCAAGTTTGATGAGTGGTATCCAAGTGGATAGCAAACTACCTGGTTATTGTAGTGAAATCCGACTTCCTAAACTAGTTACAATGCATGTGGTTCCAGCACTCTGGAAAACAATTTCACCATGTCTACAAGAGGAGCAGACAGGCACCCTGCTTGAGTGCTGTGGAGAAAGAGCTCCCTTTAAATCAACAGGGAACGTTTTGATCTCAGAAGTATCACTGACTTGGTGGGAATAGGAATTTTTATTATATATTTTGATTTTCTTATACATCACTGTCCTTTTTTTTTCTTTTTTTGCGGTACGCGGGCCTCTCACTGTTGTGGCCTCTCCCGTTGCGGAGCACGGGCTCCGAACGCGCAGGCTCAGTGGCCATGGCTCAGGGGCCCAGCCGCTCCGCGGCATGTGGGATCTTCCCGGACCGGGGCACGAACCCGTGTCCCCTGCATCGGCAGGCGGACTCTCAACCACTGCGCCACCAGGAAAGCCCCACTGTCCATTTTTGACTGAGACAAACTGTCACATGTTGAAAGTCATTGTGTTTTTCTAAGATTACAGTATCACTAACATTTAATAGCTTGAAGTCACGTGCTATGTCAATTTTCCAAATGTTTCTGAGCTAGAATGAAATTCATCTGCATATGAATAGTAGAAAGTGTTTCCACTTACATTGTACACCCATATCTTTAGTAAGTTGAAATCAGTGATTTCAAAAGAGGTTCCTGTGGGACTCTCTTTGAACTACTTTAATAGATTATCATCTCCAGAATTGTCTATAACTGATGTGACATATATAATCTGTAAGACATTATGTAACTATTATACCATAATCAGTGTCAAAGACCTTTCATAAAAATTGACAATACTGTTCTGGTACTTTACCAATGTCTGCAGATCCTTAAATACTGTTCTAAGAAATAGGATTTTACTGTGGTTTCCTTAATGAAATGATCTTTCCCACTATAATGTGAGATCTTTCAAATACTATAATTTATCATTCATTACACGTTAGGTCACAGTAACTGAACAAGTTCATGTATTATCTAAGATAGTCTCACTCAAAGTTACCATGGTAACATGAAGACAGTTTCACTTCAGACGTGTACATGAATTACTTGAAGATCAGAAAGATCATTTAGTCCAGAACCCACTTTTAATAATCTGTATACATCATTTAATCCCTAAAAATATATAAGTATCAGCATTCCTTCTCTTTACAATTCAAGAACATGAATTCCTAGTGTGTGATTCTGTTCTTAGTGTAAATGTTGTGTCAATTGAGCATCTTTTCTATGTGGACTTTAAATAACAGCTGCTCTCCAACCTTAAAAATGTCATTTCTCAGTGCGTATACTTTAGTAACATTTACTTTTAATTTTATAAGTAAACTAAGCAGAAAGTGAAAACTAGCAAACTAACCTTTTTGTCTAGTGTGCTGTTCTCAGTTCAGCCCACTTCTGCCATTTTTCATTTTAACCATCAGTAAAATGAGCGGATGCTCTGTGTCAGGGGTCTTTATCCAACATCTGTCCAACATCCTTTCCATGTGATCAGTTAACTTATGTAGACATGTGCACGTAAATAGTGTTTTTAAATGAAAATGAAAGCATTCTTACCCAATTCTGCGTGATGCTTTGCTTCAATCAAACCACAACTTTTTCTGTTACTTACAATCATTCAAATGTTTTCTTTTTTACCAAAGCCTTTATCAAATGTAAGCATAAGCTTTAACTGACCTATTTTTCTGTGTCTAGAACAAAGAAAACAAATAGCCACATTAGTCTCCCATAACTTTATGAATTATTATGAACATCTTTGGACCAGCTCAGTCACAATTTCCAAATACCACATGTCCCTCCTGGAATAGCATTCAAGGCCTGCATGGATCCAAGGGGCACAGGGAGTCTTAATGGTTAAAAGTCTTACGAGGTACTACTAAGAATCACGTGACATTCTTATTTCAGAAATTCAAAGCAGTCATGTACATCTAGGAGCTTAAGTTCCATTTCGCAGCAATGTTCTTTACTATCTGCTAATGAGATAATCCCTGATTTTAAAAACAATTATTCCTAGGATGACAAGAACTGGGATAAATGAATACAAAATCAGAAAGTTGGCTGTGAATCTGGACGTTGCACCTGGGCAGGTTCTCTCAATGAACTGAATTCCTTGACTGAAGGCACACATTGGATTAGTTGACATAGAACCATTTGAGTTGCCTGCCAGGGAAAAGATTGACAATGTCAAATATGGTACTTGCAAGGTAATTTAATCAACACGTATTTATCAGATGCCCACTAAATGCTCAGCATTCTGCTAAGTACTCGTCTTCGTGAAGATACAGGAAATTTTAGAGAGCCCAGAATTTATTATTAGATGAAGCAATAGTGAGTGTTGGGGGCCTTGAAGATGGAAATGGGTTTGTTTCCATTTTGGGTATATATTCAGTACCATAGTACTGATAAAAATTATGATCACTTAGCACTGAATTTCCCAAGGTTACTAATGTTGTCACCTAAAGATAGATAAAACAACTACTAAATTCTGCCCTGTTCTTTAGGTGTCTTCACAGAGTGGCCTGGGATTTCCAATGGCCAGGAGGGCCTTGCTGTGCTCCCACTGCCCTCTTGTGGGATTAGGGAACAGATTTTTGCCAAAAATGGCTTCACTCAGCTACATACTCTGTACATTTGGGGGAAGAAGAAGCCACTGCAGCCTGCTTCAACCTGTTCGGTAGGTACAGGAACTGATCCATCCAGAATATACTAGAGTTTACCTTAGTATACATTAAGTCTATCATTTTCTAAAAACATCGGAGTGCCCTTAAGCTACTGACCTTTGACAAGTGACTAGCTTGACTACTGCTTATTATTTTAAAAATCAGAGAAAATGTTAGACTCTTCAAAACAAAGTTTTAAATCTCTTTTACAATATAGCATTTACTTAAAAAATACATTTCCCTCAAGGAATTGTTTTTTTCAAACTAGTATGTAAAAATAAATTCCAAAATTGAATACTTACCACAAGTGAAATTCTGTCCATAGAACTCATTGACTACAAGAATCTCAGAGCAATATTTTTGGAATGTAAAATAACTGAAGATTTTAAAAGGAAGGGGCATTTCTTCTGTGTTTCTTAAGAAAAAGCAAAAAGAAAGAAAGATGAACTTCAATAGGCTCTGGTAGCAGTCCTACCAAATGAAAAGAAAGGCAACCCTTATGTTTCCCAACAGGAATATACATAGTTTTTCATCTCTCATTATAAAAATATGTTCACTAGAAAAACTTCAAACTACACTGAGAAGTATAAAGAAATACCACTGCCCAGAAATAACTATCGTTAACATTTTGGTGATATATGTAATGTGTATTTATAACATTTTACATAAATGGAATTAAACTCCTCATCCTCTTTCCTAACCTGCTTTTTCAAACAAACGTATACCTCAGACATCCTTTCAAGTCAGTAAGCATAACACACCATCATTTTTAATCACAACTTGGTGATCCATTATAGTAGGAACCTTAATTTAACACACCCCTAATGATGGTGTCTAATTTTATTGGTAAGCACCACTGATATAAAAGAAAACAAATAACACACCACATTAGAGGAGGATGTTTGTGATTAAACAGATTTGAGGTGCTAATGTATGAAGTGAGAACTAAACTATAATACAAGGGGAAAAGGATGGTGAGAAAAGCAGACATTCGTTGTGAAACCTGTTTCAGGAGAAACGTCATGCTGACCCTGTGGCCTTCTTAGTTCACTCAATAGCTTTTATCAACCCACAAATATGTATTACATTCTTTCTGTTTGCGAGGCACTAGTTCTAGGTGCTTACGGAATTCGAAAGAAGTATCCTACCCCTAAAGACTCATAATGTAGTTGGGAGATATAAACTATACATTCTCAAGGCTACAAAAATACAGTGGTGAACAATTTGTGCTTAGAAAGTACAGAAAACCAGTACTACATGTCCGTGACATTCTTGTATTTAGTATTTATGGTTTCACCAAGTGATCCCCAAACTCCATGACTTTCAGTTATTGGCAATTTTCTGAGGCACAAAATTGAATTACCCACATTGAGAGGCTGCTAAGTGGAAAGGACAGATCGGAGTCTGGGGAGGATGTAGGGGCAGAGGAAGGACACTAGGAAGGCAGAATGGTATGAGCACAGGCATGTGGGACTGGATGGACTAGAAAGGCAGAGGATCCGAAGTGGGAGCGGTGGGAGGTGAGTTTGGAATGGTCGCCATGAACCGGCTACTTCAGGGCCTTGCAGGCAGTTGACATTGAAGGACCATGATAGAAGTCACATTGCAACCAGTGATTTAAGAAAATTAAAGTGGCACCAGCAAGTAGGATGGACAAGAATAAGAGTAGAGTAGGAACAGCAAAAAAGAGAGCAGGCTACAGCAGAAGTTCAAGGATGAGATGACAAAGGCTTGTAAGAGGATGATGGCCATGAGAAGATGGCTGCCCAGATGGCTAGAGTGTGAGGTGGGAACCATGTGTCTTCATCTTGTACCATACCACACAAGGCAAACTCAAAAGCTCCACGTGCATCTGTGATTTGACATCAGAGAAGAAAACCAACGTGATTTGGTGACTGATCCAGTGTGTAGGCAGTCCAAGAAGAGAGAGTAGTCATTCATTTATTCACTCAATCCAAATATTTTTGGCAAACCTAATAGGTTAAAGGCCTTGGGCCAGCCACTGAGAAGAGCTATAATGATGAATGAGACACAGCTGCTGCCCTCAAGAGGCTGACTGCAACTGAGCAGCATGTGATGGGCTGTGAGACCCAACAAAGGGGGCTTTCAGAGAGAGCTCGCCCTGCCAAGGGAACAACAGCCAGGCTTCGTGCAGGCGGCAGAGGGGGGACAAATGGATCTGTGAAAGACACAGGAGGAGAGCTAGGCTGTGTCACAGCAATCCTTGCAGTACATCCGAGCGGGAGGAACCACAGATCTAAATTTACTGATGTGGGACCATCTACATTATATTGTTAAAAGGGGGGAAAAGCATGCATACCTTACTCCTTCACAATAGTATGAGCTCATTTTAATTAAAGATTATATAAAAGTCTAGCAAAATACACAACAAAATTTAACTCTGGGTTGTGATACTTCAGGTAACTTTTACTTAACTTCCTCATACGTTTCTGTATTGTGTGCATTTCTCCCCTTAAGAACTTGCATTATTTTGTAAGCAGAAAGAACAAGAAAGCTATTTCCACTTGTGTTTAAAGGAAGAGACAGCCACAAGTGCACATGTGGCAGGCACTCAGTCAGGGAAGATGATGACTTGAGGGAAAATACATAAACTCAATGACTAGGAGGTTGATGTGGGGCCTTCAGGAGCGCAGTTTCACCCCAGTGATGGAGTGGAACCCAGGTGAAGCCTTGGGATGTTGAGATCTTGCAAAGAACCCAACAGCATTTTGATAATGTTGGCCACTGCCCCCCTCTCAAGAATAATCAGTCCCCTTTCCTATAAACCAAATACGTGAAATAGTGCCAGACTGATTGGAGCACATGATGTTTCAAGTATGAAAGAGGAGATGCTGCTGAAGATTGGGTCTGTAATTTGCTGGCTTGATCCCATGCCATTGGGGTGATCTTATCTGTGCATTTTTCATAGATGCTAACAAGCCAACTAAGCAACATAGACAAATACAATGTAATGGTGTCACTGTAAAAAAATATCCTCCCTGACTGTTCAAAACCGAACTCACTTGGCTTTATACTACACTCACTACAGTTCATGAAGTGTTTCCACGTTGCTGATCTCATTCCAGTCTCATGATCCCTTGAGGCAGGTGGGGCTGAGATCATTATCTCCATTTTATAAATGAGGAAGCTAATTTAGGTAGAAAAGTAACTTGCCAGTGGTCACTTGGCAACTAAGTGGTAGGAGAAAGACTCTGACTCCAGGGTCGGTGCTGTCTCCAGGGAGCCACATGCCTCCCCGGAGAGTCTTCACAGCGTGTGATCAGAACAAAGTCAAGTCTGAGCTTAGTTTTCTTAACTGAACGTGGATTGCTCTGAGAGTTAATTAAACAAATATGATTACATACAATAGCTGCTCAATAGCTTTTTTCTTTGATTTTTTTAAACATCTTTATTGGAGTATAATTGCTTTACAATGGTGGGTTAGTTTCTGCTGTATAACAAAGTGAATCAGCTATACATGTACATATAACCCCATATCTCCTCCCTCTTGCGTCTCCCTCCCACCCTCCCTATCCCACCCCTCTAGGTGGTCACAAAGGACCAAGCTGATCTCTCTGTGCTATGCAGCTGCTTCCCATTAGCTATCGGTTTTACATTTGGTAGTATATATATGTCCATGCCACTCTCTCACTTCGTCCCAGCTTACCCTTCCCCCTCCCCACGTCCTCAAGTCCATTCTCTATGTATGCGTCTTTATTCCTGTCCTGCCCTTAGGTTCTTCAGAACCTTTCTCTTTTTTTTTTTTAGATTCCATATATATGTGTTAGCATACGGTATTTGTTTTTCTCTTTCTGAATTACTTCACTCTGTATGACAAGACTCTAGGTCCATCCACCTCACTACAAATAACTCATTTTTGTTTCTTTTTATGGCTGAGTAATATTCCATTGTGTGTACGTGCCACATCTTTATCCATTCATCTGTCGATGGACACTTAGGTTGCTTCCATGTCCTGGCTATTGTAAACAGAGCTGCAGTGAACATTGTGGTACATGACTCTTTTTGAATTATGGTTTTCTCAGGGTATGTGCCCAGTAGTGGGATTGCTGGGTCCTATGGTAATTCTATTTTTAGTTTTTTAAGGAACTTCCCTACTGTTCTCCATAGTGATTGTATAAATTTATATTCCCACCAACAGTGCAAGAGGGTTCCCTTTTCTCCACACCCTCTCCTGCATTTATTGTTTGTAGGTTTTTTGATGGTGGCCATTCTGACTGGTGTGAGGTGATACCTCATTATAGTTTTGATTTGCATTTCTCTAATGATTAGTGATGTTGAGCATCCTTTCATGTGTTTGTTGGCAATCTGTATATCTTTGGAGAAATGTCTAGGTCTTTTGCCCGTTTATGGATTTGTTTGTTTGTTTTTTTATTATTGAGCTGCATGAGCTGCTTGTAAAATTTGGAGATTAATCCTTTGTCCGTTGATTCATTTGCAAATATTTTCTCTCATTCTGAGGGTTGTCTTTTCGTCTTCTTTATGGTTTCCTTTGCTGTGCAAAAGCTTTTAAGTTTCATTAGGTCCCATTTGTTTATTTTTGTTTTTATTTCCATTCTCTAGGAGGTGGGTCAAAAAGGATCTTGCTGAGGGCTTCCCTGGTGGCGCAGTGGTTGAGAGTCCGCCTGCCAATGCAGGGGACGCGGGTTCGTGCCCCGGTCTGGGAGGATCCCACATGCCGCGGAGCGGCTGGGCCCGTGAGCCATGGCCACAGAGCCTGCTCGTCCGGAGCCTGTGCTCCGCAACGGGAGAGGCCACAACAGTGAGAGGCCTGCGTACCGCAAAAAAAAAAAAAAAAAAGATCTTGCTGGGATTTATGTCATAGAGTGTTCCGCCTATGTTTTCCTCTAAGAGTTTGATAGCGTCTGGCCTTACATTTAGGTCTTTAATCCACTTTGAGTTTATTTTTGTGTATGGTGTTAGGGAGTGTTCTAATTTCGTTCTTTTACATGGAGCTGTCCAGTTTCCCAGCAGCACTTATTGAAGAGGCTGTCTTTTCTGCATTGTATATTCTTGCCTCCTTTATCAAAAATAAGGTAACCATATGTGCGTGGGTTTATCTCTGGGCTTTCTATGCTGTTCCATTGATATATTTTTTTTTTTTTCCACCAGTACCATACTGTCTTGATTACTGTAGCTTTGTAGTGTAGTCTGAAGTCCAGGATCCTGATTCCTCCAGCTCCGTTTTTTTCCCTCAAGACTGCTTTGGCTATTCGGGGTCTTTTCTGTTCCCATACAAAGTATGAAATTTTTTATTCTAGTTCTGTGAAAAATGCCATTGGCAATTTGATACGGATTTCATTGAATCTGTAGATTGCTTTGGGTAGTATAGTCATTTTCACAATATTGATTCTTTCGATCCAAGAACATGGTATATCTCTCCATCTGTTGGTACCATCTTTAATTTCTTTCATCAGTGTCTTATAGTTTTCTGCATACAGGTCTTTTGTCTCCTTAGGTAGGTTTATTCCTAGGTATTTTATTCTTTCCATTGCAGCAGTAAATGGAACTGTTTCCTTAAATTCTCTTTCAGATATTTCATCATTAGTGTATAGGAATGCAAGAGATTTCTGTGCATTAATTTTGTATCCTGCTACTTTACCAAATTCATTGATTAGCTCTAGTAGTTTTCTGGTAGCATCTTTAGGATTCTCTATGTATAGTATCATGTCATCTGCAAACAGTGACACCTTTACTTCTTCTTTTCCTATTTGGATTCCTTTCATTTCTTTTTCTTCTCTGATTACTGTGGCTAAAACTTCCAAAACTATGTTGAATAATAGTGGTGAGAGTGGACAACCTTGTCTTGTTCCTGATCTTAGAGGAAATGGTTTCAGTTTTTCACCATTGAGAACTATGTTGGCTGTGGGTTTGTCAAATATGGCCTTTATTATGTTGAGGTAAGTTCCCTCTGTGCCTACTTTCTGGAGGATTTTTATCATAAATGGGTGTTGAATTTTGTCAAAAGCTTTTTCTGCATCTATTGAGATGATGGTTTTTCTCCTTCAGTTTGTCAGTATGGTTTATCACATTGATTTATTTGCGTATATTGAAGAATCTTTGCATTCCTGGGATAAACCCCACTTGATCATGGTGCATGATCCTTTTAATGTGCTGTTGGAGCCTGTTTGCTAGTATTTTGTTGAGGATTTTTGCATCTATGTTCATCTGTGTGATATTGGCCTGTAGTTTTCTTTCTTTGTGACACCTTTGTCTGGTTTTGGTATCAGGGTGATGATGGCCTCGTAGAATGTTGGCCTCGTTTGGGAGTGTTCCTCCTTCTGCCACATTTTGGAAGAGTTTGAGAAGGATAGGTGTTAGCTCTTCTCTAAATGTTTGATAGAACTCGCCTGTGAAGCCATCTGGTCCTGGGCTTTTGTTTGTTGGAATATTTTAAATCACAGTTTCGATTTCAGTGCTTGTGATTGGTCTGTTTATATTTTCTATTTCTTCCTGGTTCAGTCTCGGGAGGTTGTGCTTTTCTAAGAATTTGTCCATTTCTTCCAGGTTGTCCATTTTATTGGCATAGAGTTGCTTGTAGTAATCTCTCATGATCCTTTGTATTTCTGCAGTGTCAGGTGTTACTTCTCCTTTTTCATTTCTAATTCTGTTGATTTCAGTCTTCTCCCTTTTTTTCTTGATGAGTCTGGCTAATGGTTTATCAATTTTGTTTATCTTCTCAAAGAACCAGCTTTTAGTTTTATTGATCTTTGCTATCGTTTCCTTCATTTGTTTTCCATTTATTTCTGATCCGATCTTTATGATTTCTTTCCTTCTGCTAACTTTGGGGTTTTCTTGTTCTTCTTTCTCTAATTGCTTTAGTTGTAAGGTTAGGTTGTTTATTTGAGAGTTTCTTGTTTCTTGAGGTAGGATTGTATTGCTATCAACTTCCCTCTTAGAACTGCTTTTGCTGCATTCCCATAGGTTTTGGGTTGTCGTGTTTTCATTGTCATTTGTTTCTAGGTATTTTCTGATTTCCTCTTTGATTTCTTCAGTGATCTCTTGGCTATTTAGTAGCGTATTGTTTAGCCTCCATATGTTTGTATTTTTACAGTTTTTTTCCTGTAATTGATATCTAGTCTCATAGCGTTGTGGTCAGAAAAGATACTTGATACGATTTCAAATTTCTTAAATTTACCAAGGCTTGATTTGTGACCCAAGATATGATGTATCCTGGAGAATGTTCCATGAGCACTTGAGAAGAAAGTGTATTCTGTTGTTTTTGGATGGAATGTCCTATAAATATCAATTAAGTCCATCTTGTTTAATGTATCATTTAAAGCTTGTGTTTCCGTGTTTATTTTCATTTTGGATGATCTGTCCATTGGTGAAGGTGGGGTGTGTTTGTGTTACTGTTGATTTCCCCTTTTATGGCTGTTAGCATTTGCCTTATTTACTGAGGTGCTCCTATGATGGGTGTGTAAATATTTACAATTGTTATATCTTCTTCTTGGATTGATCCCTTGATCATTATGTAGTGTCCTTCTTTGTCTCTTGTAATAGTCTTTATTTTAAAGTCTATTTTGTCTGATATGAGAATTGCTACTCCAGCTTTCTTCTGATTTCCGTTTGTACGGAATATCTTTTTCCATCCCCTCACTTTCAGTCTGTATGTGTCCCTAGGTCTGAAGTGCGTCTCTTGTAGACAGCATATATACGGGTCTTGTTTTTGTATCCATTCAGCCAGTCTGTGTCTTTTGGTGGGAGCATTTAATCCATTTACATTTAAGGTCGTTATTTATATGTATGTTCCTATTACCATTTTCTTAATTGTTTTGGGTTTGTTATTGTAAGTCTTTTCCTTCTCTTGTGTTTCCTGCATAGAGAAGTTCCCTTAGCATTTGTTGTAGAGCTGGTTTGGTGGTGCTGAATTCTCTTAGCTTTTGCTTGTCTGTGAAGGTTTTAATCTCTCCATTGAATCTGAGTGAGATCCTTGCTGGGTAGAGTATTCTTGGTTGTAGGTTTTTCCCTTTCATCACTTTATATATGTCCTGCCACTCCCTTCTGGCTTTCAGAGTTTCTGCTGAAAGATCAGCTGTTAACCTTACGGGGATTCCCTTGTATGTTATTTGTTGCTTCTCCCTTGCTGCTTTTAATATTTTTTCTTTGTATTGAATTTTTGATAGTTTGATTAATATTTGTCGTGGTGTGCTTCTCCATGGATTTATCCTGTATGGGACTCTCTGCACTTCCTGGACTTGACTATTTCCTTTCCCATATTAGGGAAGTTTTCAACTATAATCTCTTCAAATATTTTCTCAGACCCTTTCTTTTTCTCTTCTTCTGGGACCCCTATAATTCGAATGTTGGTGTGTTTAATGTTGTCCCAGAGGTCCCTGAGACTGTCCTCAGTTCTTTTCATTGTTTTTTCTTTATTCTGCTCTGCAGTAGTTATTTCCACTATTTTATCTTCCAGGTCACTTATCCATTCTTCTGCCTCAGTTATTCTGCTATTGATTCCTTCTTGAGAATTTTTAATTTCATTTATTGTGTTGTTCACCATTGTTCGTTTGCTCTTTAGTTCTTCTAGGTCCTTGTTAAACGTTTCTTGTATTTTCTCCATTCTATTTCCAAGACTTTGGATCATCTTTACTATCATTACTCTGAATTCTTTTTCAGGTAGACTGCCTATTTCCTCCTCATTTGTTAGGTCTGGTGGGTTTTTGTCTTGCTCCTTCATCTGCTGTGTGTTTCTCTGTCTTCTCATTTTGCTTAACTTACTGTGTTTGGGGTCTCCTTTTCACAGGCTGCAGGCTGCAGCTTTGTAGTTCCCGTTGTTTTTGGTGTCTGCCCCCAGTGAGTAAGGTTGGTTCAGTGGGCTGTGTAGGCTTCCTGGTGGGGGGGACTGGTGCCTGTGTTCCGGTGGATGAGGATCGTCTTTCTGGTGGGCAGGAACGTGTCCAGTGGTGTGTTTTGGGGTGTCTGTGACATTATCATGATTTTAGGCAGCCTCTCTGCTAATGGGTGGGGTTGTATTCCTGTCTTGCTAGTTGTTTGGCATAGGGTGTCCAACACTGTAGCTTGCTGGTCATTGAGTGGAGCTGGGTCTTAGCACTGAGATGGAGATCTCTGGGAGAGCTTTCACCATTTGACATTACGTGGAGCCGGGAGGTTTCTGGTGGACCAGTGTCCTGAACTCGGCTCTCCCACCTCAGAGGCACAGGCCTGACACCTGGCCAGAGCACCAAGACCCTGTCAGCCACATGGCCAGGTACGTGGGGAGTTCCTTGCCTTTTGGGAAGTCTGAGGTCTCCTGCCAGCATTCAATAGGTGTTCTGTAGGAGTTGTTCCACATGTAGATGTATTTCTGATGTATTTGTGGGGAGGAGGGTGATCTCCACGTCCTACTCCTCTGCCATCTTGAAGGTCTCCGGGCCCTTTTCTTTGATTTTTAAGTCAAAGAAACAGAGCTGTCTTCACATTTTCTCAGGGACCCATAGTTTACTTACTGGATCCCACTCACATCACCCACCTGAAACCACTTTCACCCTTCTAAAATTTTCTGCCCTTCCTGCTACTTCTAAAAAATATACAATATGTATGTATGTGTACATATATTTTTTCTTGGTTATAAAGTAATGCTTGTCCATTATAGAAAATTCACAAAATATAGGAAAATATGAAGAAAATTAAAATAAGTATCACCCAGAGATAACTACTGTTTACATTTGGTGTGTGTCCTAGTCCTGATGCTTTCTTGAGCAGTCTTTCATCCTGCAGCCTCTTTTCTTATCTGACTATTCTTACTTTCTTAAAGTAACTGAGAATTGAGAGCTGGAATAGAAACTCAACAGTGCCGGGGAAGAAATGAACCAAATGCATGCTATTTAGCCTGTAATAGGCTGTGAGTATTTCTGGAGGACAGCTTGGTTTTCCTCCTCTTGTTATAATGGCTTATGACATGTGATAACATGCTTCAATCATCATTTCCTGATTCTCATTCTGAAGACGTTTTATTTAACAAATAATGAACAGTTCAAAGTCTAAGCAATACTGACTAGAAAGCACTATAAATACTCTGGACTGTAAGGTGATAGAGGATCACAGTATCACACAGCGCTTCTCTGTAATGCCTTACAATGATCATTATGAGGTGATCATTAACATCAAATCATACCAGTCTAAATCATTTGAATTATTAGATCTTACCTCAGGAATCCAGAGCCCACAAGCACCCCAGCAATGCAGAGCAGGGCCACCATGCTGTTGACCACATTTGGGTTTTGGATCACACCAAGTAGCACAAGAGTTAGAAATTCACCAATTAAGTGGGGGGCCAAGATAGCAGCAGAGAAATATCCAAATCTGGCAGCCTCAGGGTATAAGGCCAGAGTCCTAGAAAAACATAAGGTCTTTAGTTCCTCTCCAAGGGTTATCATTTAAGAAAAATTCCACACTTGACTTCTGTGGATAAATCCATGGTGGTTAAGTGGGTGGGGAGAGTCTGCAGGACAGGCCAAACTCCCCTTTGAAAGGCCTTTTCGGAACAGGGCCAACATTTGAGGCCACTTAGTCCCTCAAATTGTTTCTGTTGGCCCCGAGTCAATGGAGCCACCTTTTCCTTTTTACAGCCCCTCAGCTCTCACAGAAAAATACTAATACTCAGAGGATGGTCACAACCAACTGTAGTAAGTAGGGCTGAACTGTCCAGGCTTCTCCATAAGCAACCACATTCTGCCTGGCTGGCACTGCTCCCACCCTAGCTAGCCTACTACCCTAATGCTAAGGACTCACCCAACCAGCTTCTCAGCCCCTCCTTCCCTGAACCTCATCCTTGTTACATGGGGTTACTGCCAGCGTGAAAACCCTTCACTGCTTTCATCCTCCAACGGATTAGCCCTCCCCAGGCCTGTTCCATTCCATTCTTGTCTTTTATTCTACCAACCCCTTCCACTGATTTGACCTTCATGTTCTTGTAAACAAGCTACTCTATATCCATGCCCCTTAACCTCTTACATTCCTTTCACCAAATAACATTTCCCTGGTGATAGCACGTCCTCAACAACCCTTAGACATGGCTACTCTTTCTTCCATTTGTAGAGTAAGAGGAGTTGGCATGTCTTACGCTCACCCCTCCCTACCACTCTTCAAGGCCATCTGCCTTTCCCCCTATACAAATCAGGAAGTTGGCTTCTACTACTAATTCTCTGCCTCAAGGCAGTCCTGTGACTTTTAAGACATTCTCTCACCTTTGATGATTTTGTAGCTTTTAGACCAGGGTCAGTTTTGCACTCCTGTCCACCATCATTATCCTCAAGGTTTTTAACCTTGATAATCCATCAACACCAGTGCCTCCTAATTAGGTAACCTGATCAATTCCAGTGGCTCCACCCACCTAATCTTGATCACTCACTACGTCTTGGATTTAAATGTTACTTGTTACTCTAAACTGTTCCACGTCCAAGATTTCACATTCTGAAAATGCCCCTTCTGCATAGCCTCCTCCCGTCTCCCATTTCCCCAAAGCCCTCAATGCCTCAGATCCTCATCCCTTCTGCTATTCTTTGCCTTACCAATTCCCCACCTGGGGACCTTGCTCTCTTAATTAAGCTGTGCTAATTGGATCCATTCTGCCACTTTGCCTCAGCTGATTCCTGGACCCCTAATTCTTCCTCACTGCTTATTGGGTTCTAATGTCATGTCCCATCATGGCTAATAAAAGCTTCTACTTTAAACTACGCTCTCTTCCCAGGGAATTTCAAACTCTCTCCCCAGTGCTCAGCAGATGGATTTACCTCCCATTTTGTGAATTTCTATCTTTATCTTCCCTACTTTGCATCTCCTCTCTTTCTCCCTGTCTCTATCTCTTACCCCATCTTTGCCAAGCTTTATCCTGTCTACTTGCATCCTTGGTACTATGTTAATCTGATTTTCCTATTTCTGCCTTGGTCTAATCTGGAAACTTGATCTGCGAATTACCCAATTTTTCTGTAGTTTCATCTACTCTCAATCTAATGGTTTTCCCTAATGGTCTTACTTACCGTATTGTAAAATAACCGCTCCTTGAGTCTGGTAACCTTTTAAGCAACTGCCCCCTCTTCATCCTCCCCTGTACCACCAAGCTTCTCAAACAGCACCTGCTTCTCCCATCTCACTCCTTGTTCCCTGGTAAACCTGACTGGCACCCCCACCACTCTACTGAACCTCTTTTATGGAAGAGCACCAGTGACCTCCTAAACCTATGCCTCACCTCCTTGAACCTCTGCAGTACTGAACGGGTTCACTACACCTTCGTGAAACTCCCTCCTCTCTTGCCTTCTCTGACGCTGCCCGATCCTGCTTCTCTTTCCACCACTCTAACCACCTCTCTGCCCTGACTCTCCAGTCTGAGACGAAAGTGATGCCAGCCTCACCCCCCAGAGTCCAACACAGATGGGTCACTCCCTGGGGATCAAAATCCTCTACTATGCACCGGTATCTAATCCACTTCAGCCCCTTAGCCTGGCATTCAGCACCTCACCCATCAGGCTCCAAGGCTGTCAGTCATATTTTCCATTATTCCTTCCAATCCTCCTTTCCCCACAGCACAACTGAACTTTTTCTCTGGAAAGGTCTTGTGTGTTTTTGCTTCTGAACCTATGCTCCTTCTCTTTCTTCCCCTGAAATGCCCTTGCTCCTCTTCCATCTATTCAAATGTTGCTCATCTCTCAAGTTCTCCTTTATAAAGCCTCCAAGACTCCCTCTCCCCATCCAGCCAAATGGACCCTTGGTCTCCTTTGTAATTCACTGTGATAATGAATGTGAGATGGGGAAGAGACATTCCCCATCGGTGCCTCAGTTTCCTCGTCTTCAAACAAGGATAATTAATAATGCCACCTTTACAGAATGGTGCCAAGGATTCCATGAATTGATATATTTAAACCTTTTAGTGCCTGACATAAAAGCAAGTGCTCATGTGTGTCAGCCATCATTGTTATATTCCTCAGCACCGTGTTTGTGCTTCTTTATAATATTAATCTTACACTTCCTTGAATTAAAGTCATCTGGAGATTTATGTCCACAATCCATCATCTGAAATACTTTAGGGCCAGATGTGTTTTGGAATGTGGCAATTTATAGATTTGGGAAAGACTTAATTCACACTGTGTAGACCATACTTGCTGCAGTGGGGTCTGGGACTCCACCTGTAACATATCTACTAAACAGGAATGTTGCTGTGGGAAAAGTACAATGAACCTCACGTTGGTTCAGATCGGATTTTGCTACTGAGTGAGTTCAAGTCTGATGTGCTGCTAAGAGTCAGAAAACACTCCGGCTTTCAGGGCCGTCTCAGTTCAGAACTGCAAGCTTGAGGGCAGCCCCTTCAGTTTACTCCCCTTTGAATCCGCAGCTGCACCTGGCACTGTGCCTGGCACCTAGTAGGCATTCAGCAAACTTTTCTATCATTGAATCAAAGTATTTGCTACATTGCTAACAGCTGTGCTGCCACCACTAGACATGATTATGCTTTTGTCAAAAAGAGTCATGACAATACTGAACCTAGTTTAAAACCGCCCTGTTTTCTAAAATCGTACAGAACTCTTTCTCATGGGCAGTTTTACAAATATCATATGGTCTTCAAAATCAGTGCTTTGCGAATTTTAAAGTGCATATAAATCACCTGGGGGATCATGTAAAATGTGGAATCCAATTCAGCAGGGCTGGGCATGAGATTTTGCAGGTTAAACAAGCCCCAAGGTAACACTGGCACCGTGCTTCGTGGGCCACATTGAGGAGCAAGGTTCTAAATTAACAAGGTTCTCAATTTCCAACCAACCTTGGCTTACTCAAAAATGGTCACTTTAAAAAAATCTGCTCCTGGATCATTTAGCCTAAACTAGAGGGGCCTGTGGTTTATTTACATCACAGATCAGAGATTCAGCATGTTCCTGAGTGTCAGAGGATAAGGAGGCTTCATCAAGGCCAGCAAGGAGGGCCATGTGGTCCCTGCCATCGCCCTTGGTTGCGAGAGTCCGCCCTCTTGCTAACCAGAGCGAGCAGCTTTGCCTCTGTCACTCCCCAGGGTGACAACAACATCTAAGAGTCTGCACAATAAGACCTCCTAACTCTTCATCTTGGAGCTCAAACCAGGCCCTCACTTATCTTCTACTTGTATTTCACTTGATCCATAATAATTATTCACATCGCATACCATGGGGTCTTTATACTGGTTATGGGGAGAAGCACCTACACATGAATCCAGTGCCCTGAAGAAAGACAGTGTCTCCAGAACCGCCTGAAGTCCTCTCTTGGAACGACAAGCTGGGCACCTTTCACTACTGGAATCACAGAATGCCGGATGATTCCCCCCATCGTTTCTTAAGGGAAAGCCAGAGGGATTAGGGAAGATACACCTCCCTATGACAACAAATCAACAAATAACTCTACACATTTTCAGATTTGCATCTGTAAAAAGTTCTATGAAATAAAAAGCACTGTCTACAAACCATCAATCAAAACCCAGCATCAGGGATGCTTCATGGTTCTCCAAAGCCCTCTTCCCATAGTCACTCTTGATTCCTCCACCCCCCGTCACCCCAGCCCAACCACGATGCCCCAGGTCGGTCAAATGAAACCTCAGGCAGCGTTGCTGCTCCAGCTCACAGCAGCCTGGGAGCCACGCTGAGCTGGGTGGACAGCCTCGCTGCCTCTGCACCTGGTCCCAGCTACTCCAGAGCCCTCCCCTCAGGCCAGGCCCCGCAGTGAATGCGGGACAGGTTATTCCCTGGTGCGTGTCGTCTTGCTGGTCTGCTCTCAGGTCCCGTGTGGCCCACAGTGGGGGCTCCTCTCTTTGTCCTGAAGGACAGGACACTGTACTGGACATTGGTGGGCAAAGACAGACCCTCCAGAGCAGGGAGCTGTTTACCCTGGGGCTCTCCCTCGACAGGTCCCACTGGCCATCTGGGACCCCACCATCTGGGAAGCATGGCCCGGGAAAACTGAAGGCCTCTGGACACCCCCTTCCTTACCAGTAGCACACGCTGCAGAAGATCATGGTGGCAATGACACTGAAGGGGAGCACGTGCAGCACGTAGGCTAGCAGCATCTCACTTCTGGTACAGGCCATCCTCGCTCTCCTGATCGCTGACGGCTCGCAACACAGGAACTGGGCATGGGAGGCAGGTTGCAAAACAGCCGGTCACCACACAGCTGGAGGAGGTGGGGTGCTAGCCCAGGCTGAACTTGAGATCTATCAGCACTGGATGGTGAGGACCAGCTGGGGCCCCCTAGTCATGGAGAAAAGGAACCTGACATCCATAGAACTATAAATACCCCCACCCCAGAAATCCACTCTACCTGAATTACAATAGGATTACAAAAGCTGTCACAATTCATTTCCGTCTCTCTAAAGTGGGGGGGAGGGGTGTCACCAATTCAAGAACACACACGCAAAAGGGACACAAATGAGTGACGTGAGGCACTCTGTCCTCTTTTCTTGCAGGGTGTTGGCACAGAACATCAGGCAACTAGGTATTGCTTCTGGACTCCCACTGAGTTTGAAAACCAGGTGTTGGCTGTCCTAAAATAGGCTCCAAAAAGAACGTTAACAGTGCAAAGTTGGCCAGGCATCCGGGCCCCCATGGGCTGTGCCTCCTAATGGATAAGAGAAGATACCAGGGCTGATCTTCTAAAAACCCTGCCCAAACTCTGCTGCATCGTCTCCTCATAACTTCATGCTTCCCGGGATCCTCAGAGACGCTCAGGGAGATCCACTTGGTGAGCTAATTCCCACTAAGGTGTTACTAATTCACGAGTTACCTTGTCCCAGAGAGAGAACCTGGAGGGGGCCAGGTTGAGCTCAGAGAAATACCCCTATAATGGTGGAGTCTTGCAAGGTGTTGGCTGGAGAAAGGAGATATTCAGGGAGAGAGAAGCTCCCCCGACCCCGGGGGCCCACCTCCTGGGCAGGGCACTCACACAAGTTCACAGCGTTGAGCATGCCTGTGTACGGGATGGCACCCACAAACTGGTACAGGAGACCCACACGGTCCTGGATGGCACCCTTTAGCACGTCGTTCTGGACCCGTAGAAGGAAGAAAACGATGAACAAACCCACGATCAGATTCTGAGTGAGACGCATAGTCACCGCCAGCTTATTTCTCATTAAGTTTCTCGTCACTCTCCTGAAAGCCAAACAACCCCGTTTTAATTGCTTTATTTTAATGGGTGGATGTCTACCTATCTAAAATGGGGTGAGGCTCTTACCTCAAGAGAACACACAGTTTAGAAAGGGCTCCAGGAGAATCTTTGGTTTTGAAAGGAATCACTGGTAATGTTTTCAGGTGTTTTGTTCTTTCAATATCCTCCAAGGTTTTACGATACATTGCTGATTCTTTGTAGGCAGATTCAATCATCTGGACTCTCTTGTAGGTTTCTATTTCCCGTTCTTTGTTTTGGGTATCCACTGATGTCAGGTCCACTGAAATTTTTTTCCCACAAAAAAATGACCCATGTGTTTTTAAATGCACATACATACACAGTGACTAATATATGTTCCATCATTGATTTAGGAGTGCTAACCATAATACCTCATCTCATCAAAATAATACCTGTTGTTAATCCCCACCTATAAAATCAGAATATTTTAAAGCTACCACAGCAGGGCCATGAAGATCCTGATAGGCCTGTCTGGGAGAATTCAGAAGTTCAGCTAATTTTTCTTTGACAAATTAGAAGTGCACCATTTCAAGAGAGATCCCCAGGACTTTCCTTGTGGCACAATGGTTATGAATCCACCTGCCAGTGCAGGGGACACGGGTTCAAGGCCTAGTCCAGGAAGATCCCACATGCCGCAGAGCAACTAAACCTGTGCACCACAACTACTGAGCCCGCGTGCCACAACTACTGAAGCCCATGTGCCTAGAGCCTGTGCTCCACAACAAGAGAAGCCACTGCAATGAGAAGCGCACGCACCGCAACTAGGGAAAGCCCGCGCACAGCAACTAAGACCCAACGCAGCCAAAAATAAATAAATAAAATAAATAAATTTATTTTTTTTTAAAGTGAAGAATAGTGGTAAAATGTTTAAAAAAAAAAAAAAAAGAGATCCCCCACCTCATTCTGATAGGTCATCTATGGCAAGTTAATTGGCTCGGCCAAATTAATTTTTTGAAGAGTAAAAACACCAAAACAAAAGGAGAAATAAAACCCACTTGTGCTGGTGTCATCTAGGCAGAAATCTGAGATGATAAAGTTTAAAAAACATATATGATGGGGACTATAAAAGAAAAACTTACCATAAAAATCAAAAGGGTTTGAATGTTCGGGACAAGGGTAACTGCAGCCACTGAAGAAATCAAGCATTTCCACCGGTGTCCCGCAGAAAACCAGCTCTCCGCAGCTCAGAATGGCAATTTTATCAAAGAGCTGATTGAACGACAGACAGTGTTAGTGTCTGTCCTTTTCCATCCTTATGGAAAAGAAGTCTCAAGTAGTCAGTCCTTTGACTGTCTCAGCCATACATCAGTACTCTTACTGCGGCCATCAGAACCTCTCAAAATGCGTCCCTCTTCATTCCAGCCTGGGTTGCCACTGTGGGTCCTGCTGCCTCCCAGCCTGCACCCAGCATCATGTCTAGGATAGAGGACAGCTCATGGAACTGGTCAGAGGACCTATAGGTTTGAGGCCCCGCTGTGCCCCGGAATGAGTGACCTTGGACCGAAAAAATTTTTTCAAATCTCAGATCCTCATCTATAAAAGGCAAATAATAGCTCCCTAAAAGGATCCTAGGAGATTAAGGTGAGATTTTTGGGGAAGGAAACCTATATGATTTGGTGGAAAAACACAGACTTGAAAGCCAACTGGAATATGAATGCCAATTCCAGCTTTTTATTAACTGTGACATTGGCTCAATTTTGGATCATTTCTAAGTCTCACTCTTCCCCTCTGTAAAGTGAAAATGCTGGTACCCACCTCATAGGGTTGTTGTGTGGATTAAAAGAGCTAGTGTATAGAAGGTGTTTGGTACATGATAGGTGCTAAAAGAACTGAGTTTCCATCCTTGGCCCTTCCCATCAGGATTGCTCTGGTTTAAGTACTAATCTCTACTCCGAGATCCCAAGCCTGGCACACCTATACCCACCCTGGATGAGCTGAGCTGGAACAACAGACATCCCCCTCACCTGGAAGAGCTTGGAGCGGGGCTGGTGGATAGTAAGGATCACGATGCGGCCCCTGCGAGCCAGCTTTGCTATGAGGACAACGATCTGATTTGCAGTCACGCAGTCCAGGCCTGTGGTTGGCTCATCAAAAAGCATGACCTCTGCGGCAAAGGAAGGTCAGACATCTGAGTCACTGCCGAGCCTGGGCTCTGTGCTCTAGCCTCAGAAATTTGAACAGTTCCTTGTTGAGCTGTCTTATCCCATCCAAACAGTGTGCAGTGAGCAGTACTTTAGCCTGAGCCCAGGAGAAAGCACCTGACCTGGAAGGGCCCAACTCCCAGCTCCAGAGCACATCCCAGCCTGAATCCTTGAAGGGACAAGGCAGCAACCACGTCAGGCCTCTCGTGTGGCACTATAGACTGTTTGGGCTCCATCCAGGGGACCCTAACAGGGAACGAGGGCTGGCAGGCTGGCACCCAGGCTGAGAGGAGGCTGGTTAAAAAGGCAAAATCTCACAACATGGATAGACCTAGAGATTATCACAGTAAGAGAAGTAAGTCCAACAGAGAAAGACAAATATGATATCACTTATATGTGGAATCTAAAATATGACATAAATGAACTTATCTACGAAACAGACTCACAGACATAGAGAACAGACTCGTGGTTGTCAAGGGAGAGGGGGAGTAGGGGAGGGTGGATCGGGAATTTGGGATTAGCAGGTGCAAACTATTATACATAGGATGGATAAACAACAAGGTCCTACTGTAGAGCACAGGGAACCATATTCAGTATCCTGTGATAAACCCTAACGGAAAAGAATGTGAAAAACAATGTGTATATATGTGTGTGTGTGTGTACATATAACTGAATCACTTTGCTGTATAGCAGAAATTAACACAACATTGTAAATCAACTATACTTGAATAAATTTTTTAAAAAGACATAATGTCACTTCATGTCTAGCACTTTCCAATACCAACCGCGTCTTTGCACTGCAGAAAACTCTGACCTGTGAAACAAAGTCCGAGATGGGACAGGCATTTGGATTCTTTAGAGGGTTTAACTGTAGCTTATTTCTACCCAAAAGGTACAGGGTACTTTTTGTACCCTGTTCTTAAGAACATCCCTCTTATTTGTTCTGAAGAGCAGGCAGTCTTGGTCTACCCCAATGTGAAGAAAGTATCCAAATGTATCATGTCCTCTTCCAAGTGTATGTAAGTGGCAAGGTTTCCCCAGACAGTGGGGAGAATGAAGCCAGGCAGGAGAGGCAGGTGACTGGCTACCCCATCTTGATAGCCCCTCCTTCCAATATATATATACTTTCTCATGTATCACTTAAAATCCTATTTTAATTCCTGCCGTTTCATAAATACTTCTAGTCACAGCAGAACTCACTGGCTTTCCAGAGTAGACACGGTGGTGCTGCTCTAGTAAGAAGTAAGGAGGGACAGGGCATTCATGGAAGACCCTAACTGAACCTTAACACAAACGCAGTGCTTCCAAGTCCAACAGCTCTTTTGTACATGGGTGATGGAATCGCATCAGGAACTACTTAGATTTCCAAAGAAACTGGGTCCCCAGTTTGAGAAACCTCAGTGACTTCAGTTCCCAACCAACCAAGCCCTTTCCAAATGGAGACTGTGAAGAAAGGGCTGAAAATGTCTGCAGACACATGGAAGATGACAGGCAGCAGCCAGTAGCAGTTCTGGGTCCCACTTACTGGGATCCTGGAGGAGCTGGGCTGCGATGGAGACCCGGCGCCTCTCACCATGGGAAATTCCCCCAAAGCTGTAGTTGCCAATCAGTCGATCTGCCACGTGGCTCAGACTCAGCTCTGCCATGACTGCCTCCACCTGTAAGAGACACAATGTCCAGGAAGGCTGGTCACTGCTGGGCTGTGTCCCAATTCATGGGCTGAGGATGGCAGGGGAGAGGCAACACACTTCCCTTGAGTGCTTGGGCCACTTCCAGACTCACCACATCCTAGGGAAAGCACGCCTATTACAAGAGAATCCAATTTGGTTTAAATCACAATATATGTATCAGATTAAAATAAATAATATTGACATAAATTTTTTTTTCAGAAGTTCTTACAGCAACAAAAAACTGCTTCAACTTGCTTCAGGGAAAGTCAGCAGGAAACGATGCAGAATTTGTTGGACTCCTGTTTTAAGATGCTACAGTCAGTCCAGCCCATAGAGAAACCCCCCCCCAAGGCATAGTTACGATATAGCTTATTTTTTTAGTCTTTGGTTTTTGAAACTTTATTATAATAAATGTTTTACATGTAAAAAAAATCAATTTGGTTTGAACTAAACCTGGCTTCCCCTATGTAACCCAAATAAGTCCTGGAGTCCCATGTGGCCCAATCTCACTGTGGTTTTGCATCAAATATAATCCAGCTATCAAAAGTAATTAAAAATAAAGCCAATCTTTATTGGAATCTCTTTAAGGACTTTAAAAGGAACCCAGTTTATAACTTACACACTTTTAAAAATTTCCTTTTCCCTAATTCTCCTCACTCTGCTTATCTTATACCCTTCAGCTCCCTGAAATCCTCTGCTTACTACTCAACTCCCCAAAACAATCAGCACTAAAAAAAAATTCTTTACTGACTCTCTAATCAAGAAGTTGGCCTTTTCCCTCCCTCTCCCTCTTTCCTTCCTTAGCTTATCTCCCCACCAGAGGCCCTTTCAAAAATCTCTATTTCTGGTCCTCCCCTGACTGAGTACCCCTATCTGCATTAGGCCCTGGGGAAAGCAGAGAGAAAGAGACTGGGAATACTTATATATATGATAATGAGTTTTGTTCCCATACATCTCTAATGAGATTGTGTTTCTTTTATAATGAAAAAAAGAGGACTTCCCTGGTGGTGCAGTGGTTAAGAATCCGCCTGCCAATGCAGGGGACACGGGTTCGATCCCTGGTCCGGGAAGATCCCACATGCCGCGGAGCAACTAAGCCCGTGCACTACAACTGCTGAGCCTGTGCTCTAGAGCCCGCGAGCCACAACTACTGAGCCTGCGAGCCACAACTACTGAAGCCCGTGCCCCTAGAGCCCGTGGTCCACAAGAGAAGCCACCACAATGAGAAGCCCGCGCACCACAACAAAGAGTAGCCCCCGCTCACCGCAACTAGAGAAAGCCCACGTGCAGCAACGAAGACCCAATGCAGCCAAAAATAAATAAATAAATAATTTTAAAAAAATACCCTATTAAAAAATAACAACAACAGCAAACTAAACTGGAGTAAAGGAGGGGATGATTTATGGAACAAAGTTCCAGAGGAGACAGGGAGTGGGATCAATAGATGATGCTTTTGACCAAAAGAAAGGGATACACCTGAAATAGATACAAAGGAATAAGGAGGAGGTTAGAAATGCATATGTAAACCAATATGACTGATTGTCTCTTCTTGCCATCAGAGTGGAAGGATTCTGGAATTGAGCTTCACTTGACATGGCAAGGTTTATGTGTTCACCAGCCAGGGTAGATTCCTGAGTGTCCCTTTCATCTGCTCTGCAACAGCAAGAAAGGAGTAAACTTGCCCCTCCTGGCTCAGAAGCAATGGACAGGGGAGACATTTACTTCATCTGTTTCAGATGTCTCTGGCTAGAAGCCTCTCCCATGTTTTGCAAACACTGCTGGGAATAGAATTCACAGAGTCTTGGAAGGGACCACTGGGATCATCAATCCTCTCCATGCTATGTGATTTCACATAAACGGATTCATTCCTCACATCAGCTCCAGGAGAGATGCATTATTACTCTATCTATTATAGAACAGAAAACAGACCCTCAGACAGGTTCATAGATTACCCAAGGTCACACCATTAGCAAATGGCAGAGCTGGGACTGAGAGTAAACTGTGTGGGTTCTCGAGTGGTCCAAGAAGCACAAGGGAGGACAAAGCCTGCCACATCAATCATGGCTTTATGTTCAGGTTCGCAGAGGACAAAAGCAGATCTGCTGCACTCTCTGCTCTGTTATCACAGGCACTTCCTTCTCCCTAAACTACTTTGTCGGGATTTTACATCCTGTGGACTGGATTTGCTCAGAAAGTACTCTCAAGCAGGGAGAGCTTTATGATAGGAAACTTTGCAGGACACTTAGGGGCTGCCAGTGCCAGGGAGAGGGACCATTCACATGGGGAAAATTTGCCATCAACCAACTTCAGGTACCTTGAATTTTCTAAATATTTGTGCAAATATGTGCATTTTCAGGGGAAAAGGTTCGGTGGCTTTCTCAGATTCTCTCCCTGGGGTATGGGATGTAAATGGATCACTACCTCAAAAGAATCTGCTTATGACTTCATTTCTCCAACCCAAATACCAATGAGATCCTCTCCTACCCATTTTAGACACAAAAATACTAAAGCAGGCAGACAGGAAGCCTACATAGGGGCTCACCTGTCACTCACTGTCAGGGCAGCTAAGTCATGTGAAGATGCCTGTGCCTCCCCGTGGGCCAAATTCCGACCTCTGTCTTCTCAGACCACAGTGAGGCCCAGGGAGGCATGATGGAGCCAGAGCACCTGGGTCCATGTCCCAGCTCTGCCAGTCTGAGGTGTGGGATCTTGATATCCTTGGGGGTCAGTTTCTTGATCTGAAAGTTGGAGATAACGCCTCCCTCATAGAGCTGATGCCAGAATGAAATGAGATGTGTGTGAACAAGGCCTGATGGATGCCAGCCACATACAAGAGCCCAGAGAATAAGCTGGTAGAATAGCAAGAACCTCGCAATGTCTTCTGAGCACTCTAAGGTAACCTCTAGGTAGGAACAGGGCTAGTCCTCACTCTGTGGGGCTAATGGTCTTTCTTGAAGTTTCCTCTGGAGTGAAAGCTATGCTCCAACACGTCCAGGACTCTGAAACAGAAGAATGCCCTTTCCTGACTTGGCATGACAACAAACAAGCCTGCTGGTACTCTGGACACAGTTCAGACCTGGCTGCACTGGCCAAGCCCTGTCTGAGAGTCCAGCACCAGGGACAAAGAGGAGTAACTCCCTGGTGACAGGCTCTGAGGTGCCTGATAAAAAGGGAGTAACCTACTGCCCCTTCAGCTGAGATGGAGGATTCCCTTGGAGCCTCAATGGCATTAAAGGAAGGCTAGCTTTGGAGCCTGAAGTGCAGATGTAATTTGTGTGCCCAGGAGGAACCTTCACTGAGGCCTCAGAGTGGTGAAGCCTCTGAGGCAGATGTCACCAGTGATCTCCGGCACCTCTGAGAGCCAGTTTCCCAGAGAACTGTGCCTGCTTCGCAGGTGGCACGTTGACCTGTCCTTGGTTGTATGTTTCCAGCCCAGACAGAAACGGGGCAATGTTTCCAGGTAAGGCCCCTGTGAGTTTACTCGCAGCCTCTTCCAAATCAGGTCCACTTAAAGAAACAGATTGGAACTTAGAGTTGACAATTCAATAGTTCCTCCTTCCCCAACTGAATCCAGTTTGGATGAGGCACATTCAAGTCGCCTCAAAGAAAGTTGAGAAAAATCTCAACAGGGCTGCAGGGCAACGCACAGTGAGGAAAATAGCCATATCTGTTCAAACACAGAGCTCTCAGGACAGCGCCACCCAACAGAAATATCACGCAAGCCACATTTAGAATCGAAATATTTCAGTGGCCACATTTTAGAGAGTGGAAAGAAACAGATGAAATGAATTTTAGTGGTATAATTTCTTTAACCCAATACAACCAAAATATTTCCATTTTGACCAACAATCAATATCTTAAAAGTTGTTAATGAGATATTTCACATTCTGTGGTTCCAGACTAAGTTCCTGAAATCTGGTGTGTATTTTACACTCACAGCACATCTCAAGTAGGTCTAGTCAGTTTCAAGTGCCCCAAAGCCACCTGTGACTAGCGGCTGCCAGCGCAGCCCTTGACTCTTAAAGGGTGAAGAGCGAAGGGGAGGAAGGGGCAAGCGGAGGGACGAGGGGGTGCAAAGCCACAGCGGGGTGATCCCTTGGGTGGCCCCGGGGCGGTACCCACCTTTTTCTGGAAGAAGACCTGGGAGCCGCCGTGGATGGCCAGCAGCGCCGTGTAGCACAGCGTCTCGAGGACCGTGAGGCTGCTCAGCAGAGTGTCGCTCTGCAGGGGAGGGATGTGTCAGCAGCCCCCTCGCTGGCTGCGGGGCCAGCGGGCAGCCGGGCAGGGGCCGGGGACGCGCGCACCTGCAGGACGTAGGAGAAGCAGTCCTGGAACTGCTCCCTGCGCAGCGCCCGGCCGTTCAGGAACACGTACCCGAGCAGGGTCCCCGTGCGCCGCCGCCTCCCGGACATGGCGTCCAGCAGGGTGGTTTTCCCCGAGCCTGGGAGGCGACAAGAGAAGGTCCTGGAGGAGGCCCTGCACAAGGCCTCGCGGGAACTTCCCGAGACCCTCGGTGAACCCGCGGTCCAGCCCTGACTTGTTCTCTCTTTGGCCTCATGGGACAAGCTCATGGCTGGAATGAGTCCTTCCAGCTTGTCTCCTCAATGAGAGGGGACAAGCTGTTTCTCTCCTCCACGTCAGCGCTGGAGGAGCTTTGTCCTCCTGTTTGTTTGTTTTTAAAGCTGCTTGAGGCTGAAAAAGAAAATACAGGATCAGAATAAAAGGAAAACCAGGGTTCTTGGAAACTTTTGGATCCTAGGACATCTGAATTTGTTTCTGTGACCCCCTGGGATCCTCTGGTGGTTCCTGAATGTAGGCGACACCGTCCAGAGCCTCGCTGACTTAATCAAGTGTGGTCTGAGGCCGAACAGCCTCAGCTCCACCTGAGAGCTTTTGCTAGAAATGCAGCCTCTCAGGCCCCAACTCCTAACCCGGATTCTGCTTTTTACAAGATCCCTGGGTAGTCCTCATGCATATTAGAGTTTGAGAAGCAGTAGCTTAGCGAGTCCTTTGGTTAAAACCAAGTTGGCCTCAGCCTACGCTGAGAGCTTTGGCATAATAACCCAGCTGGCTGTCGCTAAGAACTTGCCCACAGAGGAGATGGGATTAACTAACTGCCCTGTGCTGAGGTGACTGGAGGGTGAGGTTTCTCCTGGTTTGCTTTTTCTAGGGTTAGAGAGATCCTTCAGGGCAGGACACCAGCTGGCCCTTCCCAGACACAAGCTTACATGGGCCCAGAGAGTTAATGGAGGCAGGAACAGGAGTCACCAGGCCTTTCCTGACCAAGGCTTCTAAGCAGTTAGAATGAGTAACAGGAAACAGGCAGGAGGCTCTGGGCTGTCTGAGAAGATGGCAATAGAATTCTACTGAGGATGTGATGACTTGTGCAAAACCAAAGAAAAGATCTTTTGTTCAAATATTTTAAAGAAACCGCTGGTTGCTCTGAGGGGTGCAAAGATGTATAAGCCAAGCTCCTGGAGCAGTGGTTTTCTTATCTAACCCATGACTGACACAGCTCAGAGTCAGCCCCACGATGTTCAGGTAGAGGTCAGCGTGGGGAAGGGAGCAGAGTTTTTGTAAAGAAACAAAATGTGACTTCACTGGGGTTGTCTTTCAAAATGTGCTCTGCAGTGTCCCAGTCATGATATTAAGCCTTGTCTGTGGTTCTTCTAACTTCTAACGTAGCCTCCCTAGCCTTACATTTCTGGGGTCCAATCGCAACTCTGACAGACCTTCCAAAGAGCCTGTAACCTGGATTCCAGTTCCACCACTATCTCAAAACTAGCCTCCTTCTTTGTTGCCAAATCCAGTAGATGCTTCTCTGTATGTTGTTTGACTTCCCAGCAGCAGTTGATACTGTTGCTTGCCCTTCTCTGTAAATCTCTCTCCCTTGGCCTTGATGCCACCTCATCCTCTTGGTTTAATCCTGCTGGTCTGGCTGCTCCTTCTCAGCCTCTTGTGGGTGACCCTCAGGGTTCCTCTCATGTCACACATCCTCACTGCGCAACAGTGAGCATCAACTTGCTAGACAGCATGTGAGGGAGCCACTTTGGAAGTAGCTTCTCCAGCCCCATTCAAGCCTTCAGATGACTGCAGCCCCAGCTGACATCTGACTACCACCTCATGAGGGACCCCAAACAGAAGCATCCAACCAAGGCACTTCCAAATTTCTGACTTGTAGAAACTCTGAGAGATAATTAATGATTTTTATTAAGTCACTTAGTTTGGGGATCCTTTTTTAAACATAGAAAAAGGTAACTAATATTATCCTTTTTTGAACATGTGTCAAATACCTATTAACTCATTAATGAGGGTACCAGCAGGTTGACCAAAAAGGATTCATATCCTCATTCAAAAAAGGATATAAGGGACTTCCCTAGTGGCGCAGTGGTTAAGAATCCACCTGCCATTGCAGGGGACATGGGTTCAATCCCTGATCCTGGAAGATCCCACATGCCGTGGAACAACTAAGCCCGTGTGCCACAACTACTGAGCCCACACACTGCAACTACTGAAGCCCACACGCTCTAGGGCCCGCATGCTACAACTACTGAGCCTGCATGCCTAGAGCCTGTGCTCTACAACAAGAGAAGCCACTGCAATGAGTAGCCCGCTCACCACAGCAAAGAGTAGCCCCCGCTTGCCGCAAGTAGAGAAAGCCCATGTGCAGCAACAAAGATCCAATGCAGCCAGAAAAAAAAAAAAAAGGATATAAGAAACTAGTATGTACAAGTAGTGGAGAAAAGAAGATTGGAATAAGTGGCAAAGTTAGATGCAAAAATGGTTAATGCCCTAGGATGTGACACCAAAGGGACGGGTAACAAAAGAAAAAGTAGAGAAACTGGACTTCATGAAAATTTTAAACTTATGTTTTTCAACCAAAGACACTATCCACAGTACAAAAAGGCAGCCCACAGAATGAGAGGAAAATATTTGCAAACCTTATATCTGATAAAGGATTAATATCCAGAATATATAGAGAGAACTTCTAAAACTCAACAATGACAACAACAACAGAAAACAAACAAGCCAGTTCAAGATTGGTTAAAGGACTTGAATAGACATTTCTCCAAAGAAGATACACAGATGGCCAATGAGCACATGAAAAAATGTTCAACATTACTAATCATTAGGGAAATATAAATGAAAACTACAATGAGATACTACCTCATACCCAACAGCTACAATTAAAAAAATAGAAAATAACAAGTGTTGGTTAGGATGCGGAAAAACTGGAACCTTTGTGCACTATTGCTGGGAATATAAAATAGTATAGCCACTGTGGAAAAGAGTATAGAGGTTCTAAATAAATTAAAAATAGAATTACCATATGATCCAGCAATTCCACTTCTGGATATATACTCCAAAGAACTGAAAACAAGGTCTTGAAGATATTTGTACACCCTTGTTCATAGCAGCGTTACTCACAATAACTAAAATGTGGAAGCAATCAAAGTGTCCATTAATGGATGAATGGATAAGCAAACTATGTCTCTACATACAATGGAATATTACTCAGCCTTAAAAATGAAGGAAATTTTGCAATATGCTGCAACATGGGTGAACAATGAAGACATTATAAGTGAAATAAGCCAGTTAAAAAAGATAAATACTGTATGATTCCATGTATATGAGGTACTTTGAGTAGTCAAAATCATAAAAGCACAAAGTGTAATGGTGGTTGCCAGGGGCTGAGAAAATGACAGAAGGGGAGTTATTATTTAATAAGAATAGTTTCGGGACTTCCTTGGCGGCACAGTGGTTAAGAATCTGCCTACCAGTGCAGGGGACACGGGTTGGATCCCTGGCCCGGGAAGATCCCACATGCCGCAGGGCAGCTGAGCCCGTGCACCACAGCTACTGAGCCTGCACTCTAGAGCCCACAAGCCACAACTACTGAGCCCATACACCACAACTACTGAAGCCTGTGCACTCTAGGCCCCGCATGCTGCAACTACTGAAGCCCACGCGCCTACAGCCCGTGCTCCACAACAAGAGAAGCCACTGCAATGAGAAGCCCACGTGCCGCAACAAAGAGTAGCCCCCGCTCACCACAACTAGAGAAAGCCCACACGCAGCAACAAGTATCCAATGCAGCCAAAAAAAAGAACGCTTTTAGTTTTACAAGATGAAAGGCTGTGGGGATGGATGGTGGTGATGGTTGCACAACTGCGTGAATGTACTTAATACCACTGAACTGTACAGTTTAAAACGGTTAAGAAGGTACACAAAAATATACTCAAAATAGCTTAAAGCCTTAAACACAAGACAAGACACCATAAAACTCCTAGAAGAGAACACAGGTAAAACGTTCTCTGACATAAATCGCAGCAATGTTTTCTTAGGTCAGTCTCCCAAGGCAAAAGAAGTAAAAGCAAAAGTAAACAAATGGAGCCTCATCAAACTTATAAGCTTTTGCACAGCAAAGGAAACCATCAACAAAACAAAAAGACAACCTACAGACTGGGAGAGAATATTTGCAAACGATTCAACCAACAAGAGCTTAATTTCCAATATATACAAACAGCTCATACAGCTCAATATCAAAAAAACAAACAACAATCAAAAAATGGGCAGAAGACCTAAACAGACATTTCTCCAAAGAAGACAAACAGATGGCCAACAGGCACATGAAAAGATGCTCAACACGGCTAATTTTTAGAGAAATGCAAATCAGAACTACAATGAGGTATTGCCTCATGCCAGTCAGAATGGCCATCATTAAAAAGCCTACAGATAACAAATGCTGCAGAGGGTGTGGAGAAAGGGAACCCTCCGACACTGCTGATGGGAATGTAAATTGGTGCAACCACTATGGAAAACAGTATGGAGGTTCCTTAAAAAACTAAAAATAGACAACCTAAGTGTCCATCAACAGATGAATGGATAAAGATGTGAGAGATATATATATATAAATAATATAAATATAAAAATACACATACACACACACACACACACACACACACACACACACACGACATAATGGAATATTACTCAGCCATAAAAAAGAGTGAAATAATGCCATTTGCAGCAACATGGACAGACCTCGAGACTATCATACTAAGTGAAGTAGGACAGAGAAAGACAAAAATCGTATGATACCACATATGTGGAATCTAAAAGATGACACAAATGAACTTATTTACAAAACAGAAACAGACTCACAGACATAGAAACAAACATGGTTTCCAAAGGGGAAAGGGGAAAGGGGGCAGGGAGAGGGTTAAATTAGGAACTTGGGATTAACAGATACACACCACTATATATAAAATAAACAACAAGGGGACTTCCCTGGCGGTCCAGTGGTTAAGACTCCACGCTTCCACTGCAGGGGGTACAGGGTCGAACCCTGATCGGCTAACTAAGACTCCGCATGCCTCATGGCGTGGCCAAAAAAAATAATAAAGTAGATAATATAAACAACAAGGACCTACTGTATAGCACAGGGAACTATATTCAATATCTTATAATAACCTATAATGAAAAAGAATCTGAAAAAGAACATATATATAACTGAATCACTTTGCTGTACACTTGAAACTAACACGTTATAAATAAACTATACTTCAATAAAAAATAAAAATAAATTAAATGGTTAAGATGGCAAATTTTACGTTATGTATATTTTACCTCAATTAAAAAAAAAAAGAAAAAAAGGGTTAATGCCCTACAGGGCCATAAAACTGTGACCTTTGGGTTTATCCTCTCTAAATGGACAGAAATCACCTGTAACTAAATAGTCTTCTGCAAGGGAGCATGCAGCCTAGAGTCTAGGTCCTAAATGATCAAAAATAATGAGTCAAATAAAATTACCTTCCCCTGGAGTGTTGGTTGACCGTAGGCAGGCTTGCATTATGCAGACCATTCTCTAGCGAGACTTTGAACACCTAAGTCATCTTTTGCCTCACTAGTAAAGATTTGATAAACAATACTGCTTTAGATGAGACACCAATGAAATCATGTTATTTTTCTGAAAAACTAAGAGTAATTCATACAATTAATTCATTTGCTTAATCATTTATTCAGCAAATACTTATTAAGCACCAACGATGTGGCCAGCCCTCTCCTAACTGTTGAGGATACAGCAGGAAAAAAAAAAAAAAAGACCAAGCTCCCACCCTCAGGGAACTTGCAGTCTACCTTGAATTCACGTTCAGTATAAAAGGATGGACAGTCATAAAAGCATGATAAGGTATCATCAGACACCAGCCCATGAGCCCCTAGAACAGGGGGCTCCACCCACTGTTCTGCTGAGATGTGCATGAAGATGTACATCGGCCTGTGGGACACACTTCCGAGAAGTGGGTTCAATTCCTTGTTGTGCTGCATGCCACCCTTTTTTATCCTACACAAGGAAGGAAACAAGTGACACATTATTATAGGAATAACTCAGCTTTTCTTTTTAAAGAAGTATAATTATCAAAAGGAAAATTAGGATGACCCTGGATGTTATGGTACATGCATACAATCAGAAATGGTTAAAAATTGTAAAAAGAAAATAAAAGGAGGGACTTCCCTGGCTGTCCAGTGGTTAGGACTGCCAAGGGCCCAGGTTCAATCCCTGATCAGGGAACTAAGATCCCGCAAGCCGCGTGGCGTAGCCAAAATAGGAAAAAAAAAAAAAAAAAAGGAAATCTCAGGGAAGTGCAACCATTCTCGCCGGTGAATTCCTTTTCATTTCATCTTAACAACACTACTGTTACCATCCAGCTGTCCCCCCGCTGCAGCAGGGGAGTGGCTGTGGATTTAACTCCCCAGGTCGAAAGAGGCTAACCATGCTTAACTTTTTTCACAGACTTATATTGCTCACCTCTATTAAAGAGAGCAATGCAAGTGAAGACTGGCAGGAAGTGTCAACAATTTGCAAGCAAGATCTCCATCAAGAGGCTCCTGGAAAGCCAATTTGTCCGAATCTTTCAACCTTAAAATATGCAGGATAACCTAGTGTAGTGGACCCTGTGATGTGCCACAAAGATTCCCTCTTCAGGGCCAACGCACGCATCCCCCCATAGCTGTGCATCCTCAGCTGTGACCTTCACAGGGCATTGCCCCAGCCTCAAGGGGCTGCCTCCCCGGAGGCTCCACCCTCCCCAGCAATGACTTGCTGATGCAGGGAAACAGGAGGGGAAGAATGAGGTGGGGAAAGGCACATAGATAGCCTCAGTGGAATCTGTGATATTTAACTCCTTTAGAAAAACAAAAAAGGATCTTAAGTAAATACGGTATAATGTTAAGATTTGATAAAGCAGAGGTTAAGACACGAACATTCCTTATTTACTCTCTATCTTGCCTGTGTGTTTGAAACACATCATAATTTTTAAAAGACCAATGAATATGGGGGATAAATGGGCATCTTTGTGCTTATTTAATTCCTTTTCCCATCTCCAGGCAGGAAAATTGTGTTTATTGAGCACCCCTATATGCCAGGCACTGTGTTAGGTGCTTTCCAAACTGAAATATGAATTAACTTACATGTTAGGCAGGACTTCGTTTTTTTCAAGGATCTTCCCAAAGATTACACGTTAGCACCAGGTTCTACTCACAGTCACACAGGTCATCAGATTTCATTCTAATATCAGACCTGTGGCCTCCTTGGTACAACGTGAACCTGTTTCCTCAATGTGGTGTTCAAATCAAGACACAGACTCTTTCGAGTCCTCGTGGAGGATTTAGGGGACCCCCCCCAGCTTACCTGAGCTCCCCAAGATGCACACGATCTGCCCACTCTCGACGTACAAGGAGACATCCTTGAGGAGCTGCCTGGTCCACTTCTGTCGGCGAGGCGCGATGTCCCACCAGGGCCCCACGCAGTGGCTTTAAAGGAAACCCCGCGAGGGAAAGGCAGCATGGGGCTCTGGAAGGGTCCAGCCCCTCGTCCCCCAGCACCGATCCCAGCTCTGCCCAGCCTGAGTTGTCTCTGGACAGGCTCCTAAGTGTGTTTTAGCCTCAGTGTCCTCCTCTGTAGACCCTGGCAGGTAGTGACAGAAGATCATCTCTATAAAGCACCTGTCCAGCAGCTGCTCTGAATACCAGCTCTCTCTGGCTGGCTGGCAGATGGCAAACAGGACACTGTTAATTCCTTCGGTTGACCCTGCGTTCCTTCACCCGGTTTCATTACACCTCATGTTCCCAGCACCCCCATTCCCCAAGCGCTCGCCATCCAAATAGGGAAGGCCATCGACAAGGGAGACACGGGGGGAAGGGGCATAAAGCAGGGAAAGGGGGCAGAGCACAGCTGCTGCATCTGTCATTTGTCATAGCTTCCAGTCCTGCTGTGGGCAGAGGGGCCGTTCACCATGGCCCCTCACTTCCCTCTGGCAGCCCTTCCCCTCTCCTCTCTCCACCTCCACCCACTAGAGAAGGAGCCCAAGCCTCCATGCATGCCCCCCCTTAGTGAGGAAAGCCAGCAGAGGGCAGGCAGGCCCACTCACCTCAGGCCATGCCTGTCCCTGACCACAGCTCAAAGCTCCCAGCAGATGAAAGAGGCACTGGCCTTACCTGACACTGTAGGAGGCAGGGAGAATGCCCAGGCTGTGTCGAGGCTTAGAAGCAGCTGCAGGAACCTCCTCTAGGGAGCATTGAGAGCTTCTGTTTACCTGGAGTTCCGAGGACCCCGCAGGGGTCAAAAAGTGGAGTTCACTCATGGCCAATGGGCCGCAAAGACAGGGGAATTTTCTCGCCTGACCCTCCCTTCGGCGGCCTCAGCCAAGGAGCCAGAGGCAGACAGTCCCGCCTGCCCCTCACCTGGCCCTGGAGCCCCTCCTCAGGCCTTCCCAGTGGCGGGCCTGGGGTTTGGCCGTGGATGCCATTATCTGATGTACCTTTAGCCAGAGTGTGTCTGCGTGTTATCTCGGCAGCGGGCAGAGCACACAGCCCGTGTTTGTGGCAGGGCTGACCAGAGAGGAATGCTGGGAGCCAGACCAGAGGTTGCCTAGCTCTGGGAGACAGAGAATGTGGCCCTGGCCGGCAGTGGTTAAGTCCAAAGGAAGCTGCAGAGACAGGCGCAGATACCACTGGGCCCCACGGCCGAGGAGGCTCCACAGGAGACAGGGCTGGGGGACAGGGCTGCTCCCCAGGATGACTCGGTGAGTGATGGGGAGTCACCACAGTCCTGGTGGGAGGGGGGCGCATTGGACCTTTCTCTCCCTCAGGAACTTTCGGTCCTAACTCACCAGCAGGACCACAAGCAGAGCAAGGACATGACAGCAGCACTCCACTTCCTGGGCATCAGAGGGCTGAGGGGAGCGGACTCAGGGGCCAGGGGTTGGTGGGGGGCCTCTGAGGTCACTTCCTGTCCTAAGCCGTGCTCCTACAGGGAAATGATGTTCTTGTTTGCGACCTGAGCTGATCTGGCTTCTTTCCAAATGAGGCTCCATCACGGAAATGCACTCACACCTCCCGGGGATGTTGCAGTGTCTCCTCTGTCCGTGTGGCTGTCAAGTTCAGAGCCTCAGTGGCAGCAAACTGATGAGACAGGATGGCAGAGGACTCTGTGGGAACATCAGAATTTATGCTCCAAATACAGCAGGTGGTCGTAAGATCCCAGAGAGAGCTGGAAGGAATACACGACACGAGGGGGCCAAGAGGTACAGGGTCTCCGCCATCATTTTACATGAGAAATGTTTGCCTGAAAAATGCCCTTTGACTGAAGTCAGGATGTGGGTGGGGTTTGAAGCAAGAAGTGAAATCAGAAGACAGAAAGGAAGCAGATGCCCACCCTCCACACCCACCTCATGCCACTGTCCCATCTGTCTTCTCTGGCTGTGAGTGGGCTGAGGGGTGGGGACAGAAAGACGTGAAGGGCTGAGGGCTCCACACCACAGGAAGGGCCACAGGCCACCTGGACTGGCCTTGAGTGGCTAGGACCTGACTTCAGCCAGGGCTCAGGAACCCACCACTCCCAGTCAGCTCTGCAGCCACAGCAGGTGACCAGCTGTGCTCTGGGAATACCCCACGGGGCCGACCCCTGCCGGGAAAGGATTCCTAGGAGCCGTGACTGCAGTGCTTGCTCTCAGCCTGAACAGGAGACAAAGTCCCCCGTGGCTTTGGGGACACTTTCTAGAAGGTCTGACAGTTCAGCCACCACCGCTTGGGATGCAAAGAACTGCCCGAATCTGACATCCAGGAATGTGTGCAGGCCCTGCCATTTCCAATTGCCTTTTCTCCACTCCCGTTATTCAAGGTGCCAAGCGACAGTTTGCCCCTAACCTTTATGGAGCCTGGAACAAGAGGCTGAGGGCTATGTACCCTATGTCTAGATATTTAAAAGTTATCAGTCAAGTTAAAAGCTATTAAATAAAATAGTTTTTATCCCCTTAGCTTGACATACCTTCTTCACAATGTGGAAGGCCAGGTGTAAATTGAAAAATTCTAGGATTTGTGGCTTCCAGCCCAAGCCACAGCCTGTCTCCCTTATCTGCCCACACCCAACGCTACACATGACCACACACACCCCTACGTGGTCGTCCCATCCTGCCCACCCGCATTCCATCCATACCCTCCACAAACAAATGCCCCTCTGGCCTGGGGTGCCCAGGAGGATAGGCCTGGGATGAAGTTCATGCAGCCCTGGGAGTGGGCTTGTGGTCACCTGCACAGGGAATTCTGGGGTCGTGGGTATGCAGAGTGGCAGGTGCCCTCGGCCCACAGCCTCCTCAGTCTGTGGGCAAAAGCCTGGCTAGAGGAGGACAAGAGGGACCCAGGCCTCAGTGTGGAGTCCGCAGCATGACACTACTTTTCCAGGGCACGGGTTCCTCATCTTAGAGCGAGGAACTTGGGTTCTGCGCTCCCCAAGTTTCCTTCTCCTCTATGCTTCTGACTCAGGAATCTGATCAGAAGTTAATACAAGGAGAAATTACAATGTAGCCCAGCAGCAGCCGAGCTGGTTACCTACAAATAAACCTGCTTTTGCTTTTTTGGGTGTCACCTGTCAGAAATTCAAGTGACGTTCTGACAGTCATACTGATTAAGATGTCAGCTGAACAGATATTGAAACATACAGAGAGTTTGTCAAAACCTCAGGAAGCCTCTAACAAATCCTTCCTGGGAGCCAAGGAAAATATTTCAAAATGGAACAGAGGTGGTCCCCAGCCTAGACATGAATTCTCTTCTTCTGAAAGTTGAGCCGTCTACACAGCTCTGGATGGCACAGGCCCTTGATGGTGGCTGGGGGCCCTGGCTGGCCTGCGCCTGCCGACTTAGCCCAGGAGCAGGGAGCATGCACCTCCCTCCTTCCTTTCATCTGTCTTCCCATCTGACACCTCTTTCCCCAGGGCCCCAGCACCCTCCACCTCCTCCAAGCTCCCACCTGGAGAGTGGAAGCCTCTAGGCTTAAGGTCACCGCCACACACTGCTCCAGACTCCAAAGTGTCCAGCCCTCCTTTCTCAGCAGCACCTCCACCTCCAAATCTAACCTGGGGAGATTCTGGCCCAGCTGTTTGTTGCAGAAGCAAATTCTGAGCTAACTCATACCTTCTACAATTGACTCATGTTCCTCCTGCAGGTATTTACCTTTTAAGAACAAACAAGCAGGATGCATGTTAGCCCAAACGAGTCTCTCAGCAATGGACAGACTTTCTGATGGTTTAACCAAATACAATAGGAAAACTAGGCAGTGGGAATGCCCGTTGTGCAGGTGGTGACTGAGGGGCAGGGCTGCAGGGCCGACCCGCTGGAATCCAGAGCTGTCCATGACCTCTCCACCAGCTTCATTCTCCATCTCTGAGGGCGTGACCCTCTCGCCTCCTGCAGCTGGGGGTCGAGGTGAGAGCGGAACTCTGGACTTCTCCTCACGGACACACTCTCTCAACTTGACAACATATTTTGAAATATTTCAGACAAAGCAGTTTAAAGAATGGTGAACTAGGGCTTCCCTGGTGGCGCAGTGATTGAGAGTCCGCCTGCCGATGCAGGGGACACGGGTTCGTGCCCCGGTCCGGGAAGATCCCACATGCCGTGGAGCGGCTGGGCCCGTGAGCCATGGCCGCTGAGCCTGCACGTCCGGAGCCTGTGCTCCGCAACGGGAGAGGCCACAACAGTGAGAGGCCCATGTACCGCCAAAAAACAAAAACAAGAATGGTGAACTCCCATACCCATCACAAATTACCAATAGCTTTGAAGCCCATCCACTCCCCCTACCCACCATGGACCTTTCACTCCTGTAACCCTTCCTATACCCCAAAAACAGTCCTTCTGCTGACTTAGCTGTTGATCGTTCCTATGTTTTTCTATATAATATACGATCTTTACTGTACTAGTTTAAACATTAAACAAGGTAAGTAGCTATGGTCTGCTGTTTCCACACTCTCCCAGAACTCTGGGGGTACTCACAGTGAGCCTGCAGCAGACTGTCCCCCGGATTTACTTCCCTCCACTTCCACTGGTCTCAATGTCCTTTTTAAGGACCTTTTACCTCCAACATTGCAGGGATGCTGTGACGAAGACTGCTGGATGTTATTTTCACAGAAGTCACAAGCCATGTTGTTTCCACATAAAGCACACCCGGACGCTGTGGAGACAGTGAAAGTATAGCCTGATTGGGTGCTCAAGGTCAGCCTGCCTCTACGTCTGCCTGTCTTGCTCCATCCTCATCACCTGTCTCATCCACTGAAATCTAAGCTTCTCAAAGACTGTCCTTTTCACAGTCACACCCCAAACTCCAGACTAAAGCATGATGTGGGCCCCCACAAGTATTTGTTGGATGCTTGATTGATTGGTTGAAGGAACACATCAGTGGGGGAATGGCAGCTCTGAGGGGAGATCGGAATCAACAGGAACTTGTTATCAACAGGAACTTATTAATGAATGTGTACTTTCCCCTGCACTACTGCAATGAAAGAAAAATTGAATATGTTAAAAAAAAATAACAGAAATCTTATGAGGCAGGTTCTTCCTTGCTTGGGCCTCAGTGATTTAAATGATTGAATTGATAAAACAGAAGGAGCTCAGATCTGCCGATGGTTAATATCATTCGAAGTTATCAGCTGATACCATGAAGCACTGCTTCGTTTGATGTACGTCCAAATAAAGCAGCACTCCAAAAACAGCAACGAGATGGTGAGGAGGAGGAGGATGACAACGAGGGTGATGACAGGGACCTCCTCTAAAATCTCCCAACAGCATTTTGAAGAGCTTTGTTGTGAAAGATCCTTACCAAGATAAGATGCAACTCCTCTAATGGTAGTGTCTTCACAAGTACTGAGCACTAGCTTGTTGACAGCGGTCTTCCTCTCACATGCAAAGTCTGTTTGGCGTCAGGAGATACTAAGCCAGATGCAGGGAAGAGAAAGTTAAAGGCCAGCCCCCAGCCCAGGTCTTCTCCAAGCACAGAGGCTCACAAAGCTCTCTCCAGTCCAGGGTCTGGGTCTCTTCCAAGAGAGATCTGCGTTCAGCTTCCAGCAGCCTGTGGTTGAGCTTCTCTGGGGCCTAGAGGCTGTGCTGGAGGGAAGCCCCAAAGCTCTCTCTGCAGGGAAGCGGAGCCCTGACCTCATGGATGCTCCTGTTTTCTCAGAGCCCTTGGGTTCCTCCTGCAAATCCATCTCTTGTCCACTCAGGATCTCACCCACGCTAGCTCCTGCTCTCACCTCTCTGGGTCTCCTCTCTCTGTTTTCTCCTATGTCCTCCTCCTTCGGAAGGAGCCCCTCACCTGTCATGTCTCCCGGCAGGGCCTCCAGGACAGCATGTTCTCCTCTGAAAGTGACAACAGCCTGTACTTCACCTACAGTGGCCAGTCCAATACCTTGGAGGTCCGAGATCTCAGCTACCAGGTAGAGGCACACCTGAGTGCAGGTGGGAGGAGCAGGCAGGGAGGGCCAAACAATTCCCCAAGTGGAAGGGAAGGGTTAACCCAGCTGGGGGCCCTCTGCCCTAAGGACGGAGTCCAGGCCACAGTGATACCTCACGTTTTGGCTACAAGCACCACGGAGGCGTCCGTCCACTACACATATTGGAGCTGGAGGTTGACAGACATGAAAAAGAGAATGAGACCTTTATTAAAACATAAAGCCAACCATGTGAACCCGTGGGAAAAAAATCTCTAAAACTCATTTTTAACTTTATATTTTGAAATAATTTTAGACTTTTGAAGAAGTTGCAAAAATAGTGCAGAGTTCCCATATACACTTTGCCCACCCTCCCCTAATTTTAACATCTTGCTTACCCATAGCAGTGATCAAAACAGAAATTAACCGTGATATAATACGATTAACCAAACCACAGACTTTATTCAGATCTCATCCGTTTTACATACATATATATACACATATATGTGTGTGTGTGTGTATATATATATATTTTTTTTCTTTTTGTAAAATGTACTTCCCTGGAGCTAATAAAATATCAGAGTGCAAGGACTGCTGCCCTTTGAGAGGCTGTCAGGAATCTCCTGGTCAGATTCTAGGACCCCTATTTCCCACGCCTCCCCAGGGCCAGATACGAGGTGGCCCAGGCAGAACATGCTGAGACCTGGGATGGTAAACCTCAGAGGCCCAAGTCTGGCTTCCTGGGGAAGTGAGTTAGAACAAGCTGACAAGCCCCACCATAACCTTTCTCTGCTCTGCCACTTACTAGCTGTGTGAACTTGAGCAAGCTGCTTCACTGCTCTGAGCCTCATGTGTAAACAGGGATTATAACAGTACATACGTTATAGTAGGTTTGCAACGAGGACTGAATGATAATGGATATAATAAGCAGATGAATACAACGCCTTGCACACAGTAAATGCCCGGTAAGTTATTAGTAAATTACTATTAAATAAAAACATTGTTTTGCTCCACGTTGTGTTTTTTTTTAAATTTTTTTATGTTGTGTATTTTTTTTTTAGGCTGCATTGGGTCTTTGTTGCTGCACGCAGGCTTTCTCTAGTTGCGGCGAGCAGGGGCTACTCTTTGTTGTGGTGCGCGGGCTTCTCACTGCGGTGGCTTTTCTTGTTGCAGCGCATGGGCTCTAGGTGTGCGGGCTTCAGTAGTTGTGGCTTGCGGGCTCTAGAATGCAGGCTCAGTAGTTGTGGCTCACAGGCTTTGCTGCTCTGCGGCATGTGGGATCTTCCCAGACCAGGGATCGAACCCATGTCCCCTGCATTGGCAGGAGGATTCTTAACCACTGGGCCACCAAGGAAGTCCCTCCATGTTTGTATTTATTTCTGTTCTGCTATTACACATGCTTCCCAAGTCTTCTCTTTCAGACTTGGAAATGGCAGCTTCAGGTCCTCAGCATGGTGGGGTCCACCTCCATGTTTGGTAGAACCTGAGTGGGGGACCCCTCAGTCCTGTTTTGTATCAGCAGGAGGATGTCTCCTGGAGGGAGCTGAACAGAAGTGAAGCTCTCTGAGGAACCTTTTCATGTCTCCCCACAGGTGGACATAGCCTCCCAGGTGCCTTGGTTTAAGCAGTTGTCTCACTTCAGGATGCCCTGGACATCTCACAAGGACTCTTGTGAGCTAGGCATTCAGAATCTGAGCTTCAAAGTGAGGAGTGGACAGATGCTGGCCGTCATAGGGAGCTCAGGTACCAATAAGGGCAAATAGCTGGGCAATGGGTTCTCTCTCTCCTGGGATGCAGAGTGGTCCCTCAAACAAAGAGATGCTCTTTACAGAACGCTTTGCTGACCAGTAGAATAATATAGCAGAGTGATAAGAGCACAAGTTCTGGGTCTGACAGCTGGGTTCAAATCTCAGCTCCTCCATTTACTTGCTCTCAGGCAGTCACTGCCCTTATGAATCATGAGTGGGCCTCTTACAGCTACAGTCAGAGTTTTGGTCCTTCATTAATATCAAGGTAAGGCCTTTCCAAAAGCATCATGCAGCTTTGGAATTGAATATTCTTTCCAGGGTACTCCTCCACCACAGGAAGCACTCATTGATTGCTCCCCCTGAATCAGATTCCTGTTTTGGTCAAACAGTGGGTAGGCACAGCCCCTGCCACAATTCACTTCTCAGATACCCCAAGTCTTGGCTCAACCTTCAACCATCTGCAAAGATCCAGATTTTTGGAGTGCTTCAAAAAGTCACTTCTGGGCTTCCCTGGTGGCGCAGTGGTTGAGAGTCTGCCTGCCGATGCAGGGGACACGGGTTCGTGCCCCAGTCCGGGAAGATCCCACATGCCGCGGAGCAGCTAGGCCTGTGAGCCATGGCCGCTGAGCCTGCGCATCCGGAGCCTGTGCTCCACAACGGGAGAGGCCACAACAGTGAGAGGCCTGCGTACCGCAAAAAAGAAAAAAAAGAAGTCACTTCTGCAGGCCAAACTTAAAAGTGTAGAATGCCAGAACTGGAAGGGGGCTTGGAGAACAGAGTTCATTCCCTTCCACTATATTCTATCTTTCTTTCTCCTGACCAGCCTGGAAGCATCTTTAGAGGAGGGTTTTCAAACTGCCTAGTTCTCAGTATTGCTAGAGTATCTTCCTGCCCCATACCACTCCCCCTTCATCTGACAGATGAGAAGACCAAAGTTTAGAAAAAAGGAATGATGTCTAAGGACATACATTTAATGCAGAGCAAGAACTAGAACTCTGGTCTCCTGGTTCTCAGATGATGAAACAAATCCAACTGATTAAATTTTAAAGATCTTACTGACTTTATTCAACGAGTCATGAATTGGGCAGCAATCCAACTGGCAGACAGAAAGTAGCACTGGAGAGCTGTACAAAATGAAAGACTTTTATAAGCAGAAGGAGGGAGGACAAGGAAGTTATTCTAGCAAAGGGCTGATTGTTTTAGGCAAGGTCACCTTCCTTTGGGGGACAGTAGGGGTCTATCAGTGCTTACCAGGTAATGTCAGATGGGCTGGTTTAAGATTCCACTCCCGGGAGAGATTGAAACTGTAATTAAGTTAGGTATTAAGTCTCAGTCCGGTGGTGTGGGGCTTAGGACAAGTGACTCCATTTGGGGTTTGCTGTTTCTTTCTTTCTTTCTTTTTAAACACAGATCAAGGAATTTCTCCCTTACACAGTGTTAGAGGGAGCACTTTATACCTCTAAATAAATGATTTACCTCTATATAAATGATTAATTCAATTAATCATTTCCAGGAGTAGAGATTACTCAACTTTTTGAACATTTTAGTCTTTAGTCTTCTGATGCGGAAAAGTTCTGTTTATTGTCTAACCGAAGATCAAATGCGACGATGTGTGCAAATGCACTTTGTAACTGAAATAACTCCCACAAATCAAGTCCCGCCAACTTCTGGTCCTGTCCCTGCAATTCGGATCTAAACAAGAAAAATGTGGAAACTTCACAGGCCAATTTTGTTTTCGTCTGTAACACCTGGTGGCTTTTCTGGTTATACCTGCTTTTTCTCATGAACTGAGAGTCGAGGAGGCATATGGGCCTCACTAGGCACTTCCACAAAGCTGAGAGTCATGATTGTTAATCCTGGCCACACACAGTCCTGCAGCTGTTAGCAACCCTGATTTGCCGCTGAAGAGAAGGGAAGTCGGGAGAGGCCAAGCGGGAATCACACTGAGCATCGCCAGAACTTCCGACTCTAGGCTCAGTGTTGTTTAGCTGCAGGTTTACTTGGCTGAAATTATTTAAATGATTTCTTAGAAAGGTTTACCAATTATACCACCTGTGATCTATACTCTGCTCACCAAAATTATAACAGTAAAGTGAAATTAATTAAAACAGCCCCCCAGGCATTTTAGCTTCTTCTATAGAATCAGCAGTAGTGCCAAAGGTGAATTAATTTACTGATTTGGAGATTCCAGCCATTTTATAAGGGTCTTGAATGCCTGTGGGTGTTTTCTCCTGGTTCACGGAGAATCTCCCCAAATATACTTGGCAACCTCCCCTAGAAAGGCTGCCCACACCTCCCACGGTTTTGTTTAGGAAATGTAGTCACCCTGCTCCCTGACTGGGAATCCTAAGGTCCCTGTAAATGTTAGCAAAGTCCCCTGCGCTCTCAGAGCCTGGATCCTATGATGTCCGAGGCTGAGCCGGGAGCAGGGCCAGAGCCCTCCCCTCTGGTTTCTCTCCTGGCTATTTTGTGCCACCTAAGTTCTCAGGGACCTTGAATGAGGTACACCCAGGAGGCAGTGTACAGGTCCCCTTCCACCCTGAGAACCTCCGGTAGGTAAGCAGCCGGATCACCGGGAAGGCCTCTGGAACTTTGTTTGTTGCACTGGGGGCAGGGGGCTGCCTGCGGAAGGCCTGGACTTGTGGTAAGGAAGTGCTGTTACACTGTGTATTGGAGTTTTCCCTGTTTAAAACTACTTGAAAAATTCACCCTCCAAAAGGAGTTTGCAATAAGGAAACCAAAACCCCACCTGGGGGAATTGGACTGAGCTATTCCCAGCACCTTTGCAAGAAGGCCTTCTCAGAGCCTGAACCCTCTTTGCATTTACAGTTCAAATGGCTGCCAAAGAAAGAGTCTCATGGAATCTCATGGAAGCTGATCCAATCTGATACTTACTTCCCCAAATTGATAGCAATCGCTATGTCATTCAGAAGTGGATGGTGTTAATTTGCGTGTCATGGATCCTTTTTTTTTAAGAGTGGAAGGTACTACTGAGAAAAATGAGTGCAGAGGGTGTAGAGAAATTCAGAACCCATATGCACACTGTACTGTAGTTTTAAAATCATTTCCACATTTATTACTTCTGTTTTTCTCCCTTTCTGAAAATACGTTCCAATTTTGCATTTTTAAAAGACACCCTATTAATTCTCCAAAATTAGTTCTTCCCACAATGCCAGCTTCTGAGCCAAATGATGTTTGAATGATGAAATGTTGCCGGCATGTTTGCCAGGCAAAAATAGTTAAGCTTCACAGTGCAATTAACACCAGCCTTGCTTGGAGGGGGGGGGGGGCATCGCTCCAGGCATAGGCAGTCATGCGGCAACTAGGACTCCAGCCTTCTGTCACGCAGCCACAGGCCGACGTGGCCTGAACACCCCGCATCCCCCAGGATGCTCAAGTTGGCTGCCCCAGGCAGGTCTGAGAGCTGTGCCACCTTCCCTGAGGGCTGGTTACATCTGCAAGGACAGAGCAGTCTGGAGAGCGCACAGGCAGCAGTGGCTTCCAGGCTGGCCCCCGCAGAAGCTCCGCTCTCAGGGATACTTCTGGTGGCTTCTCAGGCTGTGGGAGAGCCTCTTTGCTGGATGTGATCACCGGGCGAGGCCACGGCGGCAAGATTAAGTCAGGCCAAATCTGGATCAACGGGCAGCACAGCACGCCCCAGCTGGTCAGGAAGTGCGTGGCCCACGTGCGCCAGCACGATCAGCTGCTCCCCAACTTGACCGTCCGCGAGACCCTGGCTTTTGTTGCCCAGCTGCGCCTGCCCAGAGACTTCTCCCAGGCCCAGCGTGACACAAGGGTAACTAACAGACCCCAGTGATCCCCAAAGAGCCAAAACACCCTTCCCCTCCCCGTCCCTCACTTCCTGCCTCAGGGTCCGGCCACAGGTCAAGTTTGAGCAACCCAGCTCACCATCTGTCCGTCCGAAAACGTCCACCGTGCGCTCAGCCCTGCCCCTCCATCCCCCGTTTTCCTTTAAAGTCCCATCTCAGCCCCAAATGTGTAATGAATATTTGCTCACTTGTTTTCCGGTTCTCCGTGCGGGCAGAAAGCCAGGGCATGGCCACGTTCCCAGTAAGTGGTTCCGTGCTCGGCACGTGGGAGCTGCTCTGGATGTGTGGAAAGAATCAGGGAACAAACGTTGAATCGGGGAAATGAAGGCTGGCGCCGTAAACCCAGGCGTCTTTCCACTGTGGGTCGCCACAGGCCAGGCTGCGAGCAGGCCGGCGCAGCCCTCCTATATCCGCAGGCCCCTGCCTCCCAGGTGGCCGACGTGATCGCGGAGCTGCGGCTGCGCCAATGCGCCAACACGCTCATAGGCAACTCCTACGTGCGGGGCGTGTCCGGGGGCGAGCGGCGCAGAGTCAGCATCGCAGTGCAGCTGCTGTGGAGCCCAGGTGAGGCAGGAGGGGCCTGCACCGCCCGCCTGGCTTAATCCGGTCCGGCCGGAGCCCTGCCCCTTAACCAGGCTTCTCTTTCGTGGGAAGGAATCCTCATCCTGGATGAACCCACCTCTGGGCTCGACAGCTTCACGGCCCACAACCTGGTGAAAACCCTGTCCAGGCTGGCCAAAGGCAACAGGCTGGTGCTCATCTCCATCCACCAGCCTCGCTCCGATATCTTCAGGCTGTTTGATTTGGTCCTCCTGATGACGTTTGGCACCACCATCTACTTGGGGGCAGCCCAGCACATGGTCCAGTATTTCACGGCAGCCGGCCACCCCTGTCCCCGCTACAGCAACCCTGCCGACTACTATGGTGAGCCAGCCAGGCCAGAGGCAAAGAACAGGGCTCCCCTACACCCCGAGCCCCGCCAGGAGAGAAACTCTCAGAAGCTTCAGGAGAACAGGACCGAGCATGGAGACAGGGGGGCAGATGGGGTGTATTACAGGCTTCAGTTTGCCAAGCATCAAATGCTAGGAATGGGGGCCTGAAGAAAGCAGCTTCTGACATAGCCACCCTTGTGTGCATGACAGATAAGAACCTTCTGAGAGCTCCAAACCGGAGGAGATATAATCCAAGAGAGTTTGGATCCATTTCTGGAACTGTGGTCTTCATTCAGATTCTGTAGGGAAACGGGATATTAGAGGTCGGAAACCACCAGGAAATCTTAAAGCCGTGCCCTGGTTCCCCCACAAAGGCAGGGAGCCCAGAGGCTCTGGGTGGTGGAGGGGGACCCAGGGCCCAGGCCAGCTCAGGGCTTTTTGGTGGTCTTGGCCAATGAATCTCTAGGTATGAAAATTGCGGTCAGCACCAGAGATGCCTTTCTGCTTGGGGTCCTGAGGCCTCAGCGTATGGCCCTCAATTCTTGTGGGGACAGTTGCCTTTCCAGGTGCCCACCCTGAAAGCAGGTGCCTGGATCCTGAGTGCTGAGGAATGCTGTGGCTGCTGGACAGGCTGCGTGGTTGTACCAGGGCTGGGGAAGCAGCAGCTGTGGCTTGTCCCAAACATAGGTCACCTGGAGCCCAGCCTGCCTCCCAGGATGGCCTGGTGTAGCAAGGGCCTCCCCAGTAAACATGATGACAAGGACCAGCTCCTTGAGGGCAGACACTGTGCCCACAGGTGCCAAGCACCAGAGGGTGTCCCTTTGACCCTCACAGCCCTGCCAGGCCACGGTCATCTTCGTCCTTATAGATGAGAAAACTGGAGTCCTTATAGTCAGGCGGCAGAACTGGGCCTCCCACCTCCCAGCCCAGCCCCTCCCAGACTCCAGGCCCTGCTGCCCACACCTTCCTCCCGGCATCTACCCTCCAACTCTCCCCTAGGACGACAGGCCACTCTCTCTGGCCCACCAGCCCTCGCCCTCTGAACTCACTGCCACTGTGTGAACTCACCTAGAGGTCACCCTCCCTCCCTGTGCCCACGTGCCAGTTTGGCTTCCTGCCAGTGTGTCATCCTCTGGCCAGTCACCCCCAGATAAGGGGGCAGAGGGCACCTGCCAGCCTGGCCATTGGGAACAATACGCTGTAGCCCTAGAGAGAAGTTGCCAGAAGTCAGGTGCCCAGATCTGAAAAAACAAATTTTCTTTTTCTTAATTTTATATTATTATCATTTTTGGGTGGCGGGGGGAGCTCTTGCCCACAAACCCCGGGGCAGATGGCCCTCACGGATCCGGGCCACACGGTCTGGCAGAGAATCTGGCGTTTGAAGCTAGGGCCCCGCACACTGAAGGGACCTTTCATGGTTTACAAGGCCTCTCCGAGACGTTATCCCGCCTTGAGATGTGTCATGAAAATGGGAGGAGGGAAGGGGCAGAGAGGTTAAGAGGCATCCCCTGCCCAAGGGAGGGATGGAGGGAGGAGAGGCCTAGGAAGGCCCTGGCTGTGGCTGGCGGGTGTGCCCTTCTGGCATTTCAGGGGCCCCGGGAGAGGAGGGCTGTGGTCTGGGGCTACCAGGTGCTGCCAGTGGGGGTGACATGGAGGTGCGTGCGGCCCAGCCTGTTCTCCAGCTGGTCGTGCTGGCTCCCTCCTCCCGGGGCACTGAGAATTATACTTAATATTTGGCCAGACCCTGGCACCCTCCAGCCAAAACATTCTTCCCTTTTGGGCAGGCTGCTTGGGAAGCCAAAATGACTAATTCACATTGAGAACTAGAGCTGCCGGGAGCCAGACTGCTCAGCCTCCCGTGGCCGGCCCGCCTTCTCCCCGTGGTGGGCACGCCCGGGAGGCTGAGTCCTCATCACAAGCTTCTTGGACAGCTGGAGTTAGAGCCAGGGCATAACTGTGCTGTGGCCTTGGGCTCCAAAAGCCCAAAGCTTCCTTCTCTGTCCTGGGGATGTCCCCATAATAAGCCTGCTTGGTGGGACCAGTGCCAGTGTTCACTGGCCCTTCTCCCGAGGAAGGCTCTCTGTAGACATCGGGGACAGTCCTGGGCGTCTCTCTGCCTCTCTCTGCTCTGACCGTCACTTCATGGTCCACTCTCAGAAGGTGGGGAGCATGTCCCGGGGGTCCCGGGGGCTGACCAGTGTCATGGGCTGTGAGCACCTGCGGGGCCCGGGTCGCTCTCTGCTTACAGTGGACTTGACCAGCATCGACAGGCGAAGCCAAGAGCAGGAAGTGGCCACCAGGGAGAAGGCTCAGTCCCTTGCAGCCTTGTTTCAAGAAAGAATACGTGGCTTCGATGACTTTCTGTGGACAGTGGAGTCAAGGGAGCAGGGTGTGGGCACTTACGTGCAGAGGTAAGGCAGCCAGGTGGCCCTGCGTGTAGAGCGCCCTGCAAAAGGTGGCAGCCCCCAAGCCCCCATGACACTCTCTGTCTCCTGACAGCCCGGCTTCCCCGAGGGACACCAACCCCTTACAGCCTCCCACTAAGCTGCCTGGCCCCCTACAGCAGTTTGACACGCTGATCCGGTAATTGCCATTTCATCACACACACACACACACACACACACACACTCCCCAAAAGTCTTTGTTGTATCAAATTAAGCCCTTTGGATCTAAAGTGAATTTGAAAGAGGAATTTGAATTTGAAGAGGCAGAATCATTTGAAAAAACCCAGCACCAGCCCTCCATGTGCTACAGAGCATTCCTCTTACTTTGATTATTTAAACAAAATCAAAATTTCCTTGATAGCCAGATGCTCGTAGAAATCACCCAGAATGACTATGAAAAATTCAGTTGATACAGGAGACCCTCAAGTAGAAAGGGAAGGTTCCTTGATCCACCGGCCCTCAGAGAAAACCAGACCTGAGTGTTTGGTGTGAGTCTAAGATGTTTCCATGCACATAACCATTTTAATACATAAATGGGATCATACGTGTTGTTCCATAACCTTTCTTCCCCCCCGCCTTAGAATAGCTCCTCTGCCTCTCATCTGGTTAGGTCTTCCTCAGGGTTTCCAAATCTAGCCATAATTCATTTACCCATTAAGTCCATATTGATGGTCAGATTACCTTCAGTCATTTGCTATTACAAGTAACTCTATGACAAACATCCTTGTACATACACCTTTACGCTCTTGATTGGTTATTTCCTCAGGATAACTCTTTAAATAAAATACCAAGGTGATACAGTGGTGATAAAAGTCATAATCATTGACTGAGTACCTACTGTGAGACAGATGCATTCATCGATTTTCTCGTTTGATCCCTCACAGTAACTGTGAGGTGGGCACTGCCCTCCCCATTGTACAGAGGAGAAAAATGAGCCTTACAGAGATTCAAGGACATTGCCAAGGTCACAGTGCTGGTGCCTATTGTCCCTTGGCACATCTTTATTCTGTTTTTTAAGTCGTCAGATTTCCAACGACTTCCGAGACCTGCCAGCCCTCCTCATCCACGGGGCAGAGGCCTGCTTGATGTCCCTGATCATCGGGTTCCTCTACTATGGCCATGGAGCCGTCAAGCTCTCCTTCATGGACACGGTGGCCGTCTTGTTCATGATCGGAGCTCTCGTCCCTTTCAACGTGATCCTGGATGTCATTGCCAAATGTGAGTGTGGCCTGCTCTCCATGACCCACATGTGGAGCAGCATCGGCCATGCAATGAGCTGGTCCAGGGCCGGCCTGAGTTCCTCTGAGCTCCTGCAGAAGACGGGTTTACTGAATAATTTCACCGTGACTGTGAAATAAAAGATGATGGTTGTTTTTCAAGTTCGAACATTAGTATTAGTATGCAAATGAGAACAAATTACCAAGGAGTCTGAGGCATTCCTGTCCTAGCAGGAGTTATACTGACAGCAATGCAGAACTCACAGAATTACAAACATCTAAATTAGGATCTAAAATTGCCTGTTTTTTAAAAAAAATACATGACATTGAGGCAATAAAACTATTTTTAATTGTACTAAGAGAGACTCAGAAACAGAGACACTAAATTAATTTCACTTTTTCATTCTCCTTTTCTCCCCTTTCTAAGGTCACTCGGAGAGGGCGCTGCTTTACTATGAACTAGAAGATGGGCTGTACACTGCGGAGCTGTATTTCTTTGCCAAGGTGACTGGTCAGGCCTGAGAGTGAGTGGCCACCCTGGGTAGGAGGAGGAGCAGAAAAAGCTGCTCCACGTTGTACAGAAGTTACAGGGAAGCGTTTTGCTGAACTGTGGGGCCATGCATCATCTGTGGTTACAAATGCCACGTTGCTCTGGGGAGTTTCAGAGACTTGATATTGTTTAAACATTTACTACAAGGCCAGGACTATGGACCAGGAATGACGTTTTTCTGGTCATCAGAAACCTAACAAAGAAGAGGTGGGAAACACCTAGCATACTTCACCTCTCCAGTCTCACCATGTCCCTGGGAAGTGGGTCAAGCAGGTGTGACTGTCCTCATTTCAAGGAAGCGGAGGCTCAGAGAGGTTATGTGGCTGTCTCAAGGCCACACAGCTACCAGGTCTGGGCAGGCAGGGTGGGGACTTGAAACCAGGTCTTAGGAGCTCTGAACTGCCCCAGAGGGAGCACATGACATCTGCAGGGGGAAGCCAGCAGTGAGCTCATGCTTGAGTGTCCCACACACCCACGCCCACCAGCCCTCCGTGCTGCAACCCCGATCAAACCACCAGGAGGGAAGGTTGGTGTCACTGGGGGCTGCTGCTTTTGAACATTTAAAGAACAGTAGCA